GCTATCCTCAGTGGCCGAGCAGGATGGAAAGAGCAGCCGGCTCTTCGTGGAGGTGTGGCGCTCCGTTCCAATCCAAGATGATTGTAATCAACGTTCAAAGTAGTTTTCTAGCAAGAAGAGTAACATTAAATGGTTCTTTTAAACATTCTCTTTCTTCTCTCTGCAGTGGACTGATTACAGTAATTGAACCTGTACAGGGTCTTAAATCCAATGACCCAAAATAGGGTATAGGATTATCCTGCACACATTTTCAGTGTATTTCGATTTTTTATTTTTGTTCAAATTTGCTTCCATGAGGTGAGAATTGCAGTGACTGGATCCTAGGTGAGCTTGTGCGTCTTATCGCAGTTTCTTTGATGCAATGTGGTAAAACAAACAGTTCACTAGAAGTGGCAGCGTGTGGCCTTGTATTTATCTTGTGACGGTTTCTGTCACCGATTGTTCATCTTGGGGTCTTTGTGGTTGCAGTGGTATTTTCTAGGCGTCGGACTTCAGTTTCTCTTGCATTGTTGCGACTCCTGATATTCAGGCTGAACCTTCCCTAGTCATTGCTTATGCAGTGGCAAACTTGTACAGAATGAATCCGCACATTAAGCCAGCTGGTTGCTTTGTTCAAGAGCACTATTGCTGTTGATGTTGAGCTGTGAAACGCTTAGTATTACTACTGTGAGAAGTAAACTTTAAATTGAGACCGTATTAAAAGTATCTAGCTTATTATGTACAAGTAGACCTATTTTAGGATTTCTGGGCATTTTAAAGCCTTATCACAAATAAAACTGACAACTTGAAATAAGGAAGAGATGCAACACTGATCCTTGACTTCACTCAAACTGAAGACATCCTAATTTCCTGTTTCAATGGATTCAAATCGTGATGAAATCATAAAGATTTTGCAATACGAAATGGTGTTGACATATAATCACCAACAATGTGATGAAATTCTGTTAAATCTATTGCTTACTTCTGATTTAATCAGTATTGTTATGCACGGGGCAAACTTATTCAGTGTCATCTAAAAATATTTCTTTGTTTTGTCTTTAATATAAATTATTTTGCCCTATCATTATTAAGAAAGGAAGTATTTCATTCCCTTTATAGTATACAAAAATTGTCTTGACCATTTTTTTTTTTGTATAGTCTATTTATTTATTTATATTTATAGTCTTTACTTATTGATCTATATGAAAACATGCTATATATTATCAAAATGACAAGGTTTGTTTGATCAACTCTGAAACGTATAGTTTGGACATATGACTGTAGTTACAAAATGCAAGTTGGATGATTTTGCTTTGATGAGCACAGATCTGCAGTCTTGCTACCCAACATGTCCTTGAGTCTCCTGTCATGAGCGTGTAGCCCCCTCCCCCCATTACACACACACACGCACACACACAGTGATGGTTTTTAGGTGGAAAGATCTGGCAGGGTGTTTTTATTTCGCTTTCAGACCAAATGTACAATAAGTTTGAGGTGTGAAGCAAACAAACCTCCTTTTTAGCCCCTGAACACTCTTACTACCACATACTCACAGACCCACACACACACACACGTGTACACACACACACACTCACAGGCATGCAGATCACATAAAGTGTTCCCTAGTCCGTTTTCTTCCTCGCCTCTTGCCTCCTTCCTGGTGTGATGCTTTACCCCTCCAGCTAATTCCCACGCTTCAAGGGAAGAAAACAGGAGGGAGCGTGTGTGTGAATTGACCTTTAACCCTGGATCTGTGTCATCCCCTCATCAGATAACATCTGGCCTTGACGCTTGTTTTCTGTATCGCTCACATACATAACAGAAAGCTGCTTAAAACCCTCGGCCCCGGTTCCCATGACCACGCCATCAACATGGGTGCACGGACGATATCTGAAACTGCACAACGCATTTCCTACCCTGCGGTTTACATTTTTTTGTAGTTACAAAGGCTTATCTTGAGAAAAGCTCACATAAGTATGAAATACAATTAAGAATGTAGCTGTCAAAGTGACTGTACCAAGTACTTAGTAGATATTTACTTAGATATTTTTAAATATGGTGTATAGCTGTTCGCAGTTCACTGGGGTATGACGTTTTATTTCATTGAATACAGTTTATATCAATGAGTAGATCTGTTACAAAATTTAGAAAAAAATATTTGAGTTGGGGAAAGCAGGAATATTATGGAATGTTTGCCTGACTTACAATTTATTAATCAATTATCAAAATAGTTTCTTTTGATTGACATGTGGATTAATTGAGTACATAATAGCATTACTCAGCTTTTAAGCAAAAGGCAAATGAGCAAACGCTCATCCTGCCTGATGATAATATGGAAAGTTTCTTGTTTACTTCCACACTTTGCCATCTTATTGTTTGCTTTCAAAAAGATCCGCCCTCTCCAAATGTCGAAGAGGTGCAAACTAAACATCCTGGGAACAAAAGCAGAAGAGTGTGTGTGTGTGTGTGTGTGTGTGTGTGTGTGTGTGTGTGTGTGTGTGTGTGTGTGTGTGTGTGTGTGTGTGTGTGTGTGTGTGTGTGTGTGTGAGAAGTTTAGTAAAACACAGTTAAAGAGAGAAAAGGGAGCCTTCACCTACGTCAGAGAAATGGTGAAACAATGCTGGAGGCAGGAGACGGAGCAAGGTCAACTTGTTATGTATGCTGCAAGGCTGCCTGCCTGCGTGTCTGTTTATCCGCCGCTGTCTGTTTAAAGGTGGCATGTCTGTCGTAGCTTGTTGCAAAAGCGTTTTTTGCCCAACTGGCCTTTCCAGCGTTTGGCTTGATATCCTTTAAATTTGTTCTATGACTTTTTTTTATTTAGTCTTACCAGAACAAAAACCTCAAATGCGCTCAAGGATGTATATCGTTGTCATCTAGTGTCGTCTATTTGATTTTTTTTTTTGTCCTACGTGAACATTCACACAATTGGTCAGCAAGCATTAAAAAAAGTTCAAATAAAAAAACAATTGTGTGGAGCTAAATGCCCAAAACAAGATTTCAGCAGTGGGACGTTGCAGTGCCACATTTCCTCAGTAGTGGGAGCTGTCTCCCTTTCACACGCCTGTTGGCTTCTGCTACTTCTGGATGAGAATGAACGGCATCGACCTGCAGCGGCTGCTGAGCTCAGAACGACTACGCGTCAGTGGTGCTCGCAGCTGTTTGAGTATGCGTCCGTTTGTATATTGAGTATAATTGAGGCTTTAAAGATAAGGGCAAAGTCAATAAATGGGATTAATTATTCAGACAGCGCCATCCACTTTTGATATGATGGACAGCTACAATAATGTCATATTTGTTGATCTCAGTAAACTGAGATGGGTCATTTTCAAACATGTATGTAACGTGTGCGTCGATACCATCCAACCTTGTTCAACCTTAGTAGCAGCCATGTGCACTGTAAGGTGTCCCTGAGAAGAGGGGCTTCCATACCCCACCTGCTCAGCTATACACAAGTTTAAAAGGAAATATGGAGAGCAAGTCTTGTATTTCTACTTGTCATCTCGAAGCACTCAACCAATCAGAACGAAACCGAGTCCTCCATGTATGTATTCATGAGGAGGGGATAAATCATCTTGCCTGCGGGGGTACCTACGTTCGCTCCATCACAAGTCTCCCATTTCCCTCTTTCCTGGCAGGCAGATCTATTTATAGCTTCTGACGTCACTGGTCTCCTCTGATGGAGCCTCGTCACGGCCGACTTCACTGAGCCGAGGGGGGGGGGGAGTGTGAATACGGTTGGGTGAGGTTTCGTGGAGGGGTGAGGGTGTCATCACGGAGGCAAGCCCCGCTGCAGTCCTCCCCCTCCTCTTTGCCGTGTCGCACCAATCAGGTGTGAGATGCTGAACCACATCACTGTGCTGGATACAGCCTCCTTGATGACCCCCAACTCGTCCTCTTCCCTGCTTCTGTGAATGATGTCTTTCATTCAGCATCAATTGCAGAAGAGACAACTTTCGTTTAGCATCTACTGCTATTGCTGGAGTTAAAAAGAAGGAACAGAAGCAACCTTCCACTGCTCTTTTGTTAACAGATATCAATTGATCCAACTGATATAATATAGTTAAGGGTATAGTTGTTTTGTTGAGGACCGTATTGTTGGTAAGAGAAGAAGTGAACAGTTGAAACCAAGTTGTAGTCGCTCGTTTCACCCTTTGAATGAACGCTGGCGTACGTTGTGTCTGTGTGCCCTCGAGCCCGGCGCAGCACCACCTTTAACCCTCTGCTACAGTTTTACCCGTCGACGACGAGGGCCTCAGGTACTTGGTTCAGTAATAGGGGGACCTATTCAATGTGGGGGACGCGATGGGGGGATGCGCCTTGTAGGAAGTCAGTGTTGACGTCATGCGGAGATAGCAGAGGTAGGTGTAGGTGTAGGTGTGTGTGTGTGTGTGTGTGTGTGATTGCAAAGCATTATCAAACACAAGGTCATTTGCTTATAAAGACTCTGTCAGGGCAGACCATTTGAATCCAAGCGTTTGCTATTATGGGGCTTTTTTCACACTTGCACACAAATATCTACACATATTCTATTATTGTATTTTATCATTTCAATTATATTTGTGAATGGGATAATTCATTGTGAGAAACATTTTATATCTGGACATGCAGCCCTGTGCATGCATGCACTTACTCTGCTTTTGCAGAGCTTTAATGTACGTAGCTTATCTCGGCCTTGTAGTATCCCAATCATTCTCAGGGCGGTTTCCATGGTTTGAATGTAATACTGAGATATAACCCCATCAATGTGTTTACTCTTTTACTCATTACTCTCTCTGTTTTGTTTTATTTCTTAATGAACTGCTCTGCTGCTTTTGTTCTCCTATGATATTGAGGTAAGGAAATGTAGTTCATTAGCAGTAATAGTACTAGTACCCGTAGCAGTTGTACAAGTAACAGTAGTGGTAGTCATTGTAGCATCAGTCATGAAATGGAAGGTAAATTGAAGTGAAACAGAATGACACTGTGGGCTAATTAGTGGAGACTACAGTAGTGTTGATGTGTTTCTTCTGTCTCTCCTGTAGTTTTGATGTTGAGAATGGCTTGTCGGCGGGTCGCAGTCCACTGGACTCTCAGACCAGCCCGGGTTCTGGGCTGGTTCTTCAGGCCAACTTTCCCCACAGTCAACGGCGCGAGTCCTTCCTCTACCGCTCCGACTCCGACTTTGACCTTTCACCCAAAAACATGTCCCGCAACTCGTCTACTGCCAGCGACCTGTGAGTATTTTGAATGTACTTTCTTGGTCATTGTGACACCAGCAGGCCGACCTGCCTCCAAAGTGCAAAACATGAAGTGACTGCTGGTCAGAAGACGCTGCTACCAACTTTCCGACAACAGTAGATGGCGGAAGGTTTTAAAGAGCCTAATCAATTTGACAGTGACACATTGATATTTATTACTGTTGTCAAATTTTGTTTTATACCAAAATGGAACATAAAGTTACTGGAACGTATTCAAAGGAATTGAAACAGAAACATTTTTGAGTTGTGACGCTTTCATTTAATTTGCCTTGATTTAAATGTAAAATATGTAGCATCAGGAGATATGAATGGAATCCCTTCTGTTATGAATGGATTGTTAATATTTTTTCATGCCTATCTTCCCCCTTAAAAGTGAATTTAGGCCTTAGAGAGGCTCTTGGTAGCAGAGCTAATGTTTGTCAGCATAAACAGCCGTCATGTTTAGTTCCGTACATACAACTAGAGCAAAAACGTTTCTCCAGCAGTTTCTGCCTGTTTATAAGCCAAAGGTTTCTGTGTGCAGCTAGCAGTCTATTTGAAGCCAGAGTGTAAATGGGGCCTCGACCACCAATAGCTGTCGCTCCTTTTGTTTTGAAGGGAGGAGGGATTGAAGCATTGGGAAATCAATAGGCCACCTCGGTGAGAACCAGTTTAAAGACTGCTGTGACCTGTTTGTCCATCTCCTCAGGCTTTGCCATGTTGTCATGAGTCAAACCTACTAGCACTTCCACATCCCCCCTCCCTCGTCCACCTGACACTTTCTGTTACGGGCTGAAGAACATGCCGTGGACGCTCAACTGCAAAGTGATCCTACCTGCAATGTGTTTTTCACAGTCCCAGCAAGCATTTGACAGACGATGATCTGGTATCCCAAGTATAAAAAATTCATTAGTTAATTTGACAATAAGTCCTTTTGATATTTAATTTTACAAAACAATGAAAAACAATACACAGTTATTCATTGTCAAAATGTTTGCTGGACAGATTGACTCTAAAACTGTATTTTTCACTGGCAGCATGGATTTGCCTGGAAGTCTGAATAGTTCATTTTGTGTCCTCTCCAGAAGTTTGCTTTCACAAGACCCCATGCACGAACAACTCCTTGCCTTGTTGAACAAATATATATCTTGGAGGCAAAACTCGTAACAACAGAAAATAGTCTATCATAAAATAGTCTAGTATATTAATGCCACAGTAGATTTTTACCAATCACTCAGGTTGAGTTGGCTTTTATACCTGTTTTTGTTGGACCAGGGACCGACATGCTGGAAATAACGGCCAGTTTTACTTGGCAAGCTTCATAAGAACCAAATGTTCAGAGAACTAAAACAATAAGGTCTGATATTTCTGCCTTTGGATTTTATCGCTTAATCATTTTGGTTTATTGGAACTGGAATTTAACCTCAATGGTTAGGCGCACAATTTGTGAGTAACCAGCGTTAACGTTTTTAAAACAGTTGTTCTTTGACTGAAAGCTGCATCTTTGCCTCTAAGACATATTTGTATAACTAAGATAATCTCCCCTCCTTATGTCCAGTGTTCTTAGACCAAACAAGAGCCGCACCCCACTTCCCTCTTCCTTTACAATCCTCACATTAAGACTTGTCATTGTTTTGTATTTTGAAAGTTTTATTTGGATCACATGTCTACACGCTGCTTCCTGAGCGGATATCTGTTTGTCTGTGGTTTTCATAGGCATGGAGAAGACATGATAGTGACTCCATTTGCACAGGTTAGTAACATTTTTATAATTCTGTGTGACCAGAAATTGTAGTCAAAAGTATAATGGACAATCCAGCCCAAATGACTACCTGCACAGCAGGAGGCCAGAAGTTTGGTTTAACATTAGAGACGGTTATACGATTACACGATATAATTTGTTAATCAGGTGGATTTATAAATCAGTGAATTACCTCATTGAAGAACATGCTGCTGCAACACTCAGTTCATCTGAAGAAATATTATTTATCGGATTGATTAATTTGTTCAGACATTAACCAAGGATACACCAGATGTATGATGTGTGTTAGGCCATTACAAACGGTACTCCTTCCATACGCATCCATGCAACAACACAACTCACTCCTCTCCTTTTCCTTTCCAAGGTTCTTGCCAGTCTGCGAACAGTGAGAAGTAACTTTGCTGTTATGACAAATCTGCAAGAGCGTGTAGCAAACAAGTAAGAACTAGAAAAACCGACTGAATGACTCAACTGTTATTTTCTTATTCTACCAACGTATGAACTGTTTTCCCGTTGCAGGCGCCCAACCAGCAGCAACCAGCCATCCATGTGCAAGCCATGTCTTACAGGTCAGTGTTAATATCTCTGTGAATATCTGTGAATGTTTTTTTTCTCCTTTTTTTGTCATTCATTCATAAGATACTATATTAGTTAACATGAAAGACATGTTAAAGAGTATTTTCTTAATAGTTCTTCTTATTTAAATGACTGAACATCCCAGCATGGTGTGGCTTTGTTTTTTAACCGTGCTAGAGAAGTTTTTCAGTCATTTTTCAGCTTCCTCTTAAGAACTACACCACCGCCCTGGATCACTCATAGCAGTCCCACAACTGACCTGGGACATTTGTTTGTGTGACCTCTGACCTTTCAGAGGAGCCGTATCAGAAGCTGGCGGTGGAGACGCTAGAAGAGCTGGACTGGTGTTTGGACCAACTGGAGACGCTGCAGACGAGACATTCTGTTGGAGAGATGGCATCCAATAAGGTGAGGAGAACTTTGCCCAATTATTGAGACGGTTTCTGAATCTGTTAGTTAAGAGCCTATATAAGCAAAGTTTTTTGTATCAAAACGTTTAAAATGTATTACAATTAAATTCTGAGTGATGATCGTAATGATTATTTCTTACAATTTCAGCTTTCAAATATGAATCACACAGGTCGCATCCTCGCAGATCTGATTTTGTAGCTTCTTTTTCTTGTTTCTTGTTCATTCTTGTTAGAAAACAGATTTGAGAAACATGAGGGGAGAAAGTCAGTTGTTACGACACATACAGCTGCAGTGTGAACACACCCAGAAACAGATGAATTGCTTATTTTCTCCACCTAAGGGAGTTCGTCATCATCTACTCGCTTCTCAACATCCCTTTACCGTACGGCTCCTCACTCATCCCGCCTCCATCCCTCAGTCAGCCAATCAGATCGCACGCCTCCGCCCAGCCCCTGAAGCCCGGCGGATCTGATTGGACAGAGAATGGGGAGCAACATGCAGGGCGGGGCGGGGTCCCTCTCCCGCTTTATGTTTCTACGTCAACACGTGATAGTGGTTCTCACGCTTTCTCCCCGACGCTAAACCACATAGCCAGCCACCCCACGCGAACCCTTCCGTTCCGACACGCCCCCATCACCTGCGGCTCAGCACACGTGACTGTGCGGGGCCGGACTCCTATTCGCGCTCAAACTGGTCCCGCTGAGTGTGGACTACAGTTTAGCGAGCAGCTCGTCCCCCCGAGCTGGGAAACTTATTGGTATTTTTAGCGACCTGTGACATCGACATGCGCGGGTCGACATGTGTGTGTCGGCTCTCTGCGTTGGTCTCAGACAGGTGAGGTGACGGGAGAAGCTGCTGGCTTGCCTTGTTTACATCGCCAGTGCAGGCGTTGTACGGGGGGCGGGGCTTAATGCTAATGACTGGCTTGTGACTCTGCATTAAGCCCCGCCCCCCCTCGGCCGGACTGAATGTTGAGTTCGTTCGTGTCAATGTATGCAGGTTGTAAATAAATCCTAACATTTTACACTGCTTGGTCAGACAACACAGTCTTACTCATGACTCCTGTTTAAAAGGATCATGAGGTAAAGATATTTCTTAACTTCATGCAAGTTTATGGTATATATTAAAGACTGTATCACAATTTAGTTCCATACTGTTGTTTTAAACATGCTACACAGGGGACAAACGACATGTTTTGTTTTGTGCACACAGTTTAAGAGGATGCTGAACCGCGAGCTGACGCAGCTATCAGAGACAAGCCGCTCGGGGAATCAGGTGTCAGAGTTCATCGCCAACACCTTCCTAGGTGAGTTTTAGTGTCCGACGAATGAACAAAAGGACACTCGCTTTGCAGTAGAGAACCAGTTGTTCCCCATTTTAAAAGAGTTCATGAAGTCGAGTTAGCTAAAGCTGATGCAGGAAAGTACTACAGCTTCGCAGTCCCTAAAGTTATGATTTGATGCACACATTTTATTAACTGTCATTGTTGTGAATGGGGCTGTCTACGGTGCTCTGCTATAGAGATGTGCGTGTGCATAATTGCATTGCATGTTTTATTGACAGCTATGTATGTATACAGTATGTGTGTGTGTTTGTATATATACATATACAGTGTGTATATGTGTGTATATATGTGTATATGTGTTTTCAGAAAGGGAATGGGGGGAGATTGCTTTTGAGGGAAAGGAAGCGGAACAAGAGGATTGATGAAGCGATGAGAAAGCCAGCATTGGCAGCGCTGGTTAGAGAGGAGGATTTTTTATTTTGCAACTGAAAGTATGAAGAGAGCATCTTCCTGAAGAAGAGGGAAGATGAGATGACTGTTTATTAAATTGCGAGGAATAAAAAAAGATGAGGATTTTTCCCTCTCTGAAAAAGAGAAGGAAGCGTGGCGACAGACAGCATTCCCGGACACATTGTGTGGCGTTGTCGTAGCAACAGGGTGCAATATTATTAGACGGCGTGCTGCATCAATAGGAGGCTCAGTCTTCTACAGCCCTGCCGGCAGGATGGAGGTCCAGCCGAAGGAGGACGGAGCTGTCGATCGGCTACCGTTTTGACATGAGTGCCTCGCCGTGGAGCCCGACCGCATTTGGAAATGAACCCCGGGGGTTTCAGTGTGAGGAAGAGGAGGCACTGCGAGAGAGGTGAGAAAGGCCGTGGAGCGCCTTGTGTGACGCTGCCACTCAGGTCTCTCTGCATCCTTACGGTGGCTTGTAGCCGGGCTCTTTTGCTGGATCTCGTTCCTGCCGGGCTAATTAAAAAAACGTGGATGTGAACTACTCCGGATGATATGTGCACGTGAGGTTGCGCAGGCTGTCTGTGATGTCATAGTGGGATCGTTATTTCCTTGGTTTGTACAAATACGGATGAGTCATTATGGTGTATGCTGGGACAGCGTCGTTAGTGTCAACAGGTCATTAAAGATTAGGATGATGCTCTTGGTGGAAACCTTGTTTGCTTCTGCTGAAAGGACAAAGAGCTCCACTGTGGGTTACAAAAATAAATCTCCTACAGGCGATGAAGCCTTTCCAAACCCACATAAAGGAAAAACATCTGGGAAACAGGAGAGGCACTTAGTGTGCTGAGCTCCTGAGAAGCTGACTGGCTTCACCCATCACCCGTAGCTTTCTACTACCGGTGTTCTGTTTGTATACATCCTTTTGTGCTCCAATACTGCAGGTGTACTTGATTGTGACCTTCCGACCATTATCTATTCACAGTAATAACCCGTAAACAAAAATAAATCTAAAAAAGTCTATAAATAATTACATTTTTACATTTAATTGTACATGCTTTGTTACTGTGAATCTATAATTCATTAACTGCGTACAGGCTCATTTGCTTAGTCAAAGAAGGCCCATTTTTGTGTTGAAATCATAAAAATGACGCATTTGCTTGTGATTTTATTCTTGCTGGCCAACTTAGTGTCTCAGTCATTTGTTGACAGCAGGTTTAATGTAATTACACACTTAGTTGTGCGTGTGTATTAGTCGGTAGAGTGATATTTGCAGTAATCCACATAAGAAGCTTTTGAGATACTTCCAACAGTAATTGTGATCAATGATTGATTAAACGCTGACAGTATAATAGTTCGGAGTGTAACTCTACTATAGTTAGTTAATAGAGGTAGCAGCCATATTTGATCAAAGCACTAATTGCATTGGTAATGAAAGAATTACTCCTGTTGAGTAATAACAATTACTGCAGCAGAAGACACCCACTTATGGGTCAAGACAAGTCCCCTTCAAAGACAGTAATAATCAGAGCTCACGCAAAGATAGTGTCTTCATTGACCAGAAACCACTGAAGCTGGTTGGGTGAGATGATGATGAGATGGGTGCATGAGTCTGTCCTGGGAGGAGGGTAATGACGGGTAAACACGGCCTAATTCATGATTCCATATAAGCAGATTAAGACCATATTTCTAATGCATAAAACCTGCATCTCTAATTTACATTGTTCATTTTCAGAGGTAGTCATTTTTTTGTAAAAAGAACAACTATATAAAAGCAATTGTGTGGCTAGAACTCTATTGACAATGTGACAGTGTGCCAAAAGTGTTAAGTCATAAGAGTATTTATTACCTGTATATTCAACAGTGTGCTATGTGTATTTGCTGCAGAGAAACAGCATGATGTGGAGATCCTCTCTCCAACGTCTAAGGAGAAGGAGAAGAAGAAGAGGCCAATGTCACAGATCATTGGCGTGAAAAAGACCACACAGAGTCCCAGCTTAGCACCCACCTGCATCCCCCGCTTCGGAGTCAGCACTCCCCACGAGAGCCTGCTGGCCAAGGTGGCACTCACTCACTCACACAAAGCATACACACACAAACACAATGTGTCTCACAGGCGTCCTGTCGTCCTTCTCCAGGAGGTCGAGGACATCGACCGTTGGGGTCTGGATATATTCAAGATAGCAGAATTTTCAGGAAACCGCCCTCTGACGGTGATCATGTACACCATCTTCCAGGTAGGAGGGTTATTGTGCCCGAAACTATGCTGTTAAACTATACAAATGTTAAAGTTATCCATAGGAATCGGAATACACAGGTATTTTATGATGTGACCCACCAAGTTCGATTAAGGAAGAATACTCTGCAGGAAAACGTTGGGGATTGTCCGCAGCCAATTGAATCAACACCACAGAAGAGGAAAAACTGATTTGTCGATCAGTGTGACTGATTCTCTCTCCCTTGTCACTCTTCTAGGAGCGGGACCTGATGAAAACCTTTAAGATCCCAAATGACACCTTTATCACCTTAATGATGACCTTGGAGGACCACTACCGGGCAGACGTAGCTTATCACAACAACATCCATGCGGCTGATGTGGTGCAGTCCATCCACGTCCTCCTGTCCACCCCTGCTCTGGAGGTGAGGTTCTTACTGTAACCCCTGGTTACCATATAATATCTATGGTTTTGATTCAATGTCTTTTGTCCTCAGTCGGTGTTCACAGACCTGGAGATCATGGCGGTTCTGTTTGCCAGTGCCATCCACGACGTTGACCACCCAGGAGTCACAAACCAGTTCCTCATTAACACCAGTAGGTTTCACTTTGACGCTGCACTGCCCAACAACAGCATTTTATACACCTGAGGAAGGAGTTTGGTGCGCTGTGTACCTCTGTACCGAGGCGATATCTATCTATCTCTCTTGAACCGGGTCTGGGTCACATTGTCTGCATTGCACAGGGTGCTTATTAGACAGGGCTCTGATTTAAGTGTTACTGCTAACACAGGTTCAGAGCTCGCGCTGATGTACAACGACGCCTCGGTGCTGGAGAATCACCACCTCGCTGTGGGCTTCAAACTGCTTCAAGTAGAAAACTGTGACATCTTCCAAAACCTCACCAGGAAACAGAAAGAGTCCCTCCGAAAGATGGTGATTGACATGGTGAGACTACGTTTTATCCTTTCAGATGTGGTGAACCTGAACTGCTACTTTACAATGCGGGTTTTTATTGTGTTTTGTTCATGGTTCAGTAATGTTTGTGTTTAGTAAAGTTCCCCTGATGTGGCAGCTTTGTTTATCTGGTCACAGGCTGCAGAGAGAGTTGATGGTCGGTTACAGCTCGCTCTTTTGGATTTTGGGAAGGAGACAACACACACAAATCATTTTAATTCCTGGGATATATAAGTATTTCCTTTGTTATTTTTTTCTGAATAACCTGCAGAACAATAACGGACCCAAATGTTTCAAATTGGAACACACCTGTGGAGAGTGTTCACGTGCTCTATTGTGTCAAACGACACCCATCAGTTCAGAAACGGATGTAAAAGCTCTTTGTTACTAATGGACACATTTACAGACGAACCGAATGTCCTTACACATAAATGCAAACATGCCCACACGATTTCTCAGCTTCTGCAAGAACTGTATAAATAAAATAACAATTAAAATGTTTAGTTGTGGAAAATCATATGTTTAATTGCGACTAAATAATCCAAAACATTATTCAATAATCAATTAAAAATTAGTTTTGGCCAATTTAATTTATGCAAACACATTAAACAAATAAAAATTCTTTTAACAGCAGCATTGCATTTATAGCAAATAATATTTCTCAAATAAATCTCAAATTAAACTAAAATAAAAAAATCTGATCAAAACCAAAGCAATTGGCCGCTGCTCAGGTATTAACGTGTTATCTGGATCCTAATAGAAAAGCAAGTTACCCTCCACAATCAGGACATTACAACAGGCAAGTTAACATTTAGAAATCTGTTTTCTTTTTTTTCATCCCAACAGGTATCAACATAAACATGTGTCTTTGTTCAGGGGCATCATCACACACACACACACACACACACACACACACACACCGCTGGGATTCAATTGTGGGTGTTAATTAGTTATAGTGTCCAGCTGTAAGAATTTCATGTATGCTCGTTATACATTACGTGTCATTTAGCTGACTTTTTGATGTTTTTTTTTTTTTTTACACATTTTGCCCGGGGAGCAATTAGGGGTTTGGTGTCTTTCTCAGGGACACTTCAACATGGGACATGGAGCAGCCGGCGCTCCCTCTCTACTCCATGCGCCCCCCCCTACACATAATTCACTAATGACCGTTAAACACCTACAAGACCGTTTATCTTTACAAACAAAGGCAACAAGAACGCAACATTACAGAGTATTGGCTGACGATGTGTTCAACCCTTTCACAAGGTGCTCGCCACGGATATGTCCAAACACATGAACTTCCTGGCGGACATGAAGACAATGGTGGAGACCAAGAAGGTGACAAGTCTGGGAGTCCTGCTGCTAGACAACTACTCTGACCGCATCCAGGTGAGGTGCTGAAAGCACAGTCATGTCCTACTCATAAGTACGTGATCTATTTAGAGACAAAAGGGAAAAATACAGCTTTCTGTAGTAATGTAAGAAACTGACCATCGTTATCACCTTTCACATTAAATCCCTGACAATAAGATGAACAGCTACTTACATTTCAATCTCAGTGAAATACCAATTGTAACAGGGAATTGATCCAGGATTTAGAAATGGATCATTAGTCTGTGGCTGTAGTCACAAACATGTAACCGATGCAACAGATGTTTTTCACTCAAACCTTCGCACATCCACAACAACCGATCTATAGTGTGATATAAAATCAGGAAAACGGATAAAAGTAAAAGGAAAGCTTGTTGCATTTCTCAAGTTTCCTCTGCTGCTGCTTCTGAGCATGTGTTACATTGCCAGCTGAGTCTGAATGATCCGTCTACTCTCCAGGTTCTGCAGAACATGGTCCACTGTGCCGACCTGAGCAACCCAACCAAGCCGCTGGAACTTTACCGCAAGTGGACGGACCGCATCATGGTGGAGTTCTTCACCCAGGGAGACCAAGAGCGGGACAAAGGCATGGAGATCAGTCCCATGTGTGACAAACACAACGCCTCCATAGAGAAGAACCAGGTAAAGCCCACCGACACACGGCAGGAGAACAGTGGAGATGTTCTAAACTTGTTATTTTTATGTTGGCCTTCTATATCCACGTGATATGGATATAGAAGGATTTCTGATCTTATCGTAAACACATGTGTGTCTCCAGGATTTCAGCATGGTTTTAAAACTATCCTTTGGAGCACATGCTGGGTCATTGGTCTCTTTTTATAACCCGCTGCCTGTTCTTGCTGTTTCATGGGGTTCTTCATGTGCATGCATATCCAAAATGTCCTCCTGGAACCCCTAACAGCATCAAAAGTTATGCACCTTTTTCAGTTTGCATTACATATTTTGACTCTTTAAACAACTGTTTTAATATTATTTCTATGACTAGGTGGGCTTCATCGACTACGTTGTCCACCCGCTGTGGGAGACATGGGCAGACTTGGTGCACCCTGACGCCCAGGACATCCTGGACACGCTGGAGGACAACAGGGAGTGGTATCAGAGCATGATCCGCCGCAGCCCGTCGCCCTCCAGCCCCGAGGAGCACCACCTGGAGGTGATCCCAGGGGGAGGCGATGTGGGGGCAGGTGGGCCTGTCCTTTCAGGAGGAGGGGATAAGTTCCAGTTTGAACTTACTCTGGAGGAAGAGGAGGAGGACGAAGAGGAGCTGGAGTCTGACCTGGAGAGCCCCTCGGCGGCAGAGTCCCAGTCGGGGGGAGAGCAGCACGGGGACTCCTCTCCGTCTTTGTCCCCGGACCCCCGCAGCAACAGCAGGTACCGCCCCCCTTCGCCTCACCCGTCTCGGGCCCTGAATCCGGCCGCCTTGTCGGTGCGGAGCCTCGACAGGACGCTGGCCTTCCCAGGTCGGGGGGGCGCCGACCGGGACAGAGAACTGAGCCTGGAGGGTGACGGGGTGGCGCGGACGGGCACGTAACCAGCGGCGCCTCCCCCCGCCTTACAGACACGAGTGCTGAATGTGGAGAGACGGAGGCAGGACGCGCCTTCACTGTAAAACACTACAGCCCCTTTACACTGGAGACACCGGCTCCGCAGAGACAGAGGGACGCGTACCCTCTGTTCTCATTTTATATTTTAAGAGAGTCCTTTCGGCCTCTCTTTGTGTGCACTGGATGACCCCTGTGTCCCATCCTGCTTCGTTGTAGCCCTGAGCTTAGAGTGTCCCCGACAAAAGACTGCTTCGACCCAACTGCTGAGAAGAGCGGAGCCAAGTCGAGATACTCTTAACAAGAACAAGAGATAAAGGAGACGTCTTCCTCCAAAATAACTGTTTATGACATTCAGACAGGGGAATGAAGATCGCTGTGGTCTGACAGGGTCTTGAACTTACTTTGCACCGTAGTTTTGATTTATTACATGAAATGACTGAGTCCGGTTGGAATATACGAGTATGACTTCTTTGAGAATGATGTAGGATGTGAATTATTTTACCAAATGCAGGCTGTGGTTGAGAGAAAATTGATGGACCTAAACCTCAGGGTAGAGAAACAAATCTAATGTAGCACGGATGTAGTGGGTAACCCTCACCTGATCTTTGACCCCCAAACTGCCTTTCCTGTTTGATGTACCTCCAAACCACAACTTCTAAGACTTTGTTTAACCTGCGTGTCTTCACATTAAATTGAGCCCTTTAAAAGAACATTTGGCAACTGAAGCAATCAAATATGATGTATTTAAACCAGCTTGTAGCACCAGAGCGAATCAGCACTGAAGTGGGCTGTGCCCCAGTCTCACATGATGGAAGTACAAGACACCCCCTGTATAACTAGTTTGGGCTTCTTCTTTTACCGGAGATCATTTCAAATGGTGTCACTGTTTTAGGATTCTGAACAGTTGTACGTTTGCTGGTCTTTTCTGTGTTTTGTTTTATTTTTTATCAGGGTGCCTCCGGTCCGCAGTAGCACTTTACCGTCTTTGCCCTTCAGCTCTTTGATCCTGTCAGACAAAGGGCTCCGTCCACTGTAGGCCTACTGATCACACAGACACAGTACAGGACGCCTGACTAAGGTACCGGGAGGGAGAGCAGGAAACTCAACGGTGATATTTAGCTGCAATGTTCTCTGAAAATGATCCCTGTTGAGAAAGTGCCCCATCCAGCCAGGATGTGAGCCTTTCTGAACCACGCGAAAACTTTTCCTTTAAGGATATTTCTGATGTCGTATATACATTTTTCTTGTTGAAAATAAATTCCATGAAAAGATTTTAGTCCACTGCTCAATACTTCACTCTGCGGGGTCTCAGCCCCCTAGACCGCTTGTTTCTACAACGGAATCCAGACTTTTACGACTTTTGTTTCTGTAAAAACGTGGCTCCTAACCAGAGATATCGAGCCCTTTAGCTGTGGATTAATACACGTTCGTTAAGTTATGTATTTACAGCAGCAGGACAGTGTAGATTGGTCCAGGTCAAACCACAATGGACAAGTTCATTGATTGATTGTCATGCCTTTTGATGGACTTTGTTGATAGTAGGAAAAATCTGGAATATTACATTTATCCTTTTCAGACATGTCATCTAAAATGCATTTCCTTTATGAAACCTGAAATAATGAACCGGATTTGGATCAAATATTACCAAAAAGCTTACATTCACCCACAAGCAAATTCCCTTACTCATACTGTCAAATAAATCACCGTGGTGTTTCCTGCCCTGCTGACAGGGTCTGTTGTAGTGATCAAACTAACCAGATTGTGTTCATCAGGTCACCTGATCGGTGAAGCCTGTCTGAGATTACTGTGTGCCACGAGGGAGGACCCCTCTCCCCACCGCCTACAATGCTGTACATTTTTACACTAGAAACTGTCACTTGATTGTATCAAAGTCTTTGAGTTTTTACGAGTGATACGCGTTTCCAGACTTTGCCGCTTGTGAATGTTCACCTTCAGTCTCGAGCAGTGTTCCCCCGAGGTAGAAAAACCAGGAAGTAAACAAGCACTACACAAAAGGTATGACGCACTTCCCAGTTGGGCAGTCGAAAAAAAACAAAAAAAAGTCCCATCAATGTTTCATTAACTCAGCTTTACCATTTTTGATGCAGTTGCGCTGGCGCTGATTGTAAGACTATTAGGGTTTGTAACGTGCCAAGCCTCACCGCGTGGTTTCATCTTAAATATAAACTACACATGTCATGTCTGCAGCTGTTCTTAGCGTGTTTGCCTTTAAAACTTGTGTGAAATTAAGCAACATGGAAATAGTTTGCCTTTTTTGATCCACTTTAAGCATCTTATAAAAAGTCCATGATGAAATAGTTGAGGGATTAATGTTCATTATTCAGGCTTTGCCTACAGCGCCATCAACAGGCCAGTTTACAGTTGCACAAAATGTCAATTAGTGGAAAGGTTTAGGCACCCAGACAATACTTGTTTGGCCATTATTATTTTAGTTACAGGAAAGGGAGCAGTTTTTCGGTAATGTGATTTTTTTTACGTTGCTCTGATCAATTACATTTTTTCTAAGCTTTAGATTGTCCCTAATATTAGTGTATGCAATAAAAACTTCACTATTGGTTGAATACAACCAATAAAGCCCAGTCAGACGGCACTTTGTATAATCCAAGTCAGTCTCTTTTACAAGAAGTAGGATATATGGGTCTAAAGTACAGGAAGATCCTTTTACATCCATCAGGTGATACTTTGAAGCAAGAAAACTAGTCACATTTCTTATTTAATTGCATGTGGATTTAAAACAGTAATTGAGTTCAGCCAGCTGAATGTAGTTTGTAGCCTAGTGATCAAAAGGTTCCATCGGCATGTGAAACACGGCAGTGTGGCTCTTCACAGGAAGACGTCCCTGACCTACAGTGTTAAATGTATTCATGAGCAGGAGAGTCTCACAGATTCCGTCACCATTGTTCATGCCGTCCGTGTCGTACAAACAGCTATAAAAAGATATTTATTCAAAGCTTGTATGTTGAGACAGTACTGTAACATAGGACATTTTATTTCATGTCCTAAAGCCTGAAAATCAAGTATACGTATGCCACTCCAATGTTTTCGTCAAAGAATACTATATTTTTGTTTGTCATTCTAAGCCAAAAGACTGAGGAGTCCAGGGTGATTCAAGAGGAAAATGCCAATAAATATGGAAATCTATTCAGGCTGGTTGTTTTTATTCTTTATCATTTATTACAGACTTCGGTTCTGTAAATTATGTTAACTACAGTTTCAAACAAGACAGACTTATTCCACTTTTAAATCCGATCTCACTCGCATTGAGAAACAAGCAAAAACATGTTAATAGAATTATGTTATCTGGTACATTATGCAGTTCTTACATGGTAAAGTTTGTTGTGTTCAGCAGAAGCTTCTGTTCAATCTTACTTGGGCGCCAGTACAGACCGGAGGCTTCACCCCCTGAATACAAAACAGGAGTTAGTACACAGGTAAATTCAAATAGTGATAAAATCTGAAATTTATTGATTAAACGTAACATCAGGTTGAACATTAATGGGCAAGTGCACAGGCTCAAAGTATCTTATTTCCTGTCTTTAAGGCTTAATTTTTACCTTTGGAGAATATTTTCCATAATTTTTACCAGCATCAATTACGCAAATAACCAAATTAGACAGTTCAAATAATAACTCACCTTGTAGAGTCTGCAAACAAAGTGGAAGAGAGACGACAACACCTTGTCCTCATTCTCCTCAGTGTATTCCTAAACAGAAACGGTTTATGATAAGTAAAGTCCTCACTAATGCAATCATTCAAAGCAGTAGCAGTGTACAGCTTAAGATTTTTATATAATAGGTTGACTTAACAGATTTTAGTTTGGGATATTTTGACGACAGGTCCTTCATATTCAACCCGCCCTTTTCTCCACTTCAGTAAACAAGATCATCCTTCTGTGCAGCTCACACTTTATATTCAAGGGGAAACTACATTTTTTTTTATTTTAACATTATAAAATGAGTTTAGTCTAATCATACCCCGTCAATGGAGAAAAGCAGAGGTCCCCCCCCCCTTTCAATGCTTTGCCAACACCTTATGGATGAGTGTTTTACCCCGTTGACGGTGAGCCAGGGGACGTGCGTGTGAGCCGGGTGCAGCGCTCTGGTCATGGCCGCGTACGCGTGCATCAGCTGGCGTCCCAGACCTCCCCTCGAACAGGCGTCGACACTCGACCAGGAGACGGCGGGAGCATACAACTGGAGACACTGCAACAGATCAACACCGTGCGGACGTCTAGTAAGGACAGTCTGAGTTTTACACCTTTTGAATCCCTAAACATCGCAGACCTCGTCACGATCAACTACACTGCAGGCAGACATGTGCCGTCTGAGGTCTGGCGGGTTTCACACTCCTGATCATTTCATAAAGGTTTGGGGATTTTTCCTTGTGCAAGGAAGAGACTCCGGTTTCTTCTGCAGGTACTCACAGGCTGGGCAGCGTTGAGAACATTTTCAGCAGACTCCATGCAGTAGATGATCTGAAAGGCTGAGGGTCCCGTTAAATGGATCATGCAGGCCTGAGGAACAGATCAATCCAGCCAATGACATTACGTTTTCTTGTGTTGATTAAAACGTGGCGGAGCTGCCGTGTAGGTGAGGAACGGGTCTGACCTCAATCAGGTTTCCTCTGCATTCAGCCTCTCCGTGCTGGCAGATGAAGGGAGAACTTGCTGATGGGTTTTCCTAAACGAAGCAGGACACCTTTCAGTAGGCATGTAATGATCATTTATCCATTAACACAGTGGATCAGCGTACCATAGCGTTCCCGTAGGGGACCAAAGTGACGGTCATGATGTCCTGCAGCATTGTCCAGGTGGGGAAGAGCTGCTGGGTGATGAAGACTCTGCTGTCTGGACACAAACTCTCATAGTACAGCGTGACAGAGACTGGAGGAGCAGCCTGGTTTGTTCTGGTAGCATTCAGCTCCATACACTGTTTCTGGACCTACACAAGAAAAAAAGGATTTGGAAAGTTAGCTTTCTAAATGTCAAATTAAGTGTTCAACTTTATAGAAGACGTGTGGGTGGTGGCGGCGAGCTAAAACCAGAAAGCAAGTCAATCGAACATAGAGAGATGATGCAACTAATTAAAAACTATTTTCTAGATATGTGATGAATGAACGTAGAAAACTCAGTATTAGTTAAACCCACAACTTCCACTTGTCTACTTTGAGTGTAAATTGAGCTTTGTGGGGACAAAAGGTGTTTTAAAAAATAAAAATCACCGGAAACAAGCATTTTACTTGTGGGGTTTTTATTATGCACAGAGGAATCCGCTTCACCTTTGTAGTAGAACACTGCTCCGTTTGCCGTTTCTACTTTAAACGAATTACGGGTCGCTTGATTTGACCCAGAGCTGCTCTCCGGTCACATGAAGAACCACTGGTGTTCAATTTATGGAGCATGACTCTCATTTAAAAAGAGATGTTACGTTTGGAGCAAGAACAAGAACATTAAAAAATATATATAGTTTGCTATGTGTGAACTTATCAATGTTTTTCAGAATTTACTCCTGTCCTCATGAATAATGCATGAGGTGAAACAAACTAAAAAAAAAAAAACTTAAAAGGCCTGGAATTTAACCAAAAAGGGAAAAGATTACATTTTTAGGAGGGTAAAGCTGCACAAAGACCTCACGTATCTAAACATTAACTTGGTTAGAAGCAATAAGTGTATTGCATCTTGCTGAGAAAAGTTAAGCATGTCATTACATTTTACTACGACATTAATATCAAATCATTTTGTTTTACGTTTGCAATCAATGTGCCTAAATATGCATTATTTCAGTGACCCGGTCAGAGGTGGTGGGGGGGAGCAGACTGCTGGAAGTTAGATTCCAGTGTTTATTAACTCACGTTGCATGATATCGCGATCTCCAGGGACCGACACCACTGAGACGGCGGGTAACGGCAAGACGGTTTCGGGTGAGACGTCCCGGAAACTCCCGGTTCAATGTAGAGAATGCAGATGAGTAAAAACACAGACAGCGCTCCAAAATGCTTCATGTTTGAAATCTGCGGTCCTCGCATGTGAAGCAGGGGAGACAACTCGACGCTGTTCCTCCCGAAGGACCGCCCAATCAGCCTCATCATCAGCTGATTGACTGCAGGTGAGAACGACCAATGCTGCCTTCAGGGACACTCGGAAAGTTTATGCTTAGGGCCCCGCAGATAAGGTGGATGAAAACAACAAAAGATATCGGGCTGTTAATGTTAGAGTACAGAGTCTTGGCATTTAGTGAATATGCATGATGATAAATGATCAACTCTCATGAATTACTCTGCAACACACGCAGAACCATGAGTTGAAACGAGTGCGTCGACGCAACGACGCAGACGCAGAAGCATGCGCCAGCCTTTAAGTTTGCATACTAGTATCAGTGCGGGAACTGGCCGCCCTCTGGTGGTCACAAATGAGCAGTGAAATGAAATCCAACCCGGATGTCCACCAAAACCCTTAGAATTTTGTGAGAGGCGCCAGAAAGGCGTCAAATGGCGTAAATGTACAAAGGGGACAGCACTTGTCAATCTATCTTCTATCTTCAATCTATTTTCTTTTATTTTCGAAAATGTAATATTTTATTATAACATTTTTTTAAATCTTAAAAGTTTTAAGATTTTGTATTATGATGATGATTATGATGCAGCACATGATGTTTTAATTATTTGCATTGCTCTAAATGTTATTTGTCATGCATACTTTATACTTTTGTTTATCTAGACTTGCAGTTTGGATCCAACATCACCTTGAACACGTAAGTCTTCATCCTCAGGTTATCAAATAATACTCACAACAATTACTTCCAGTATTATTATCTCAAGTTTATTTGGGGATCTGAAAGTGCATACATGAACAATGCTGTTCCAAAGTCAGGTTTTACACCAACAAAAATGTTTGAAACCATTTTTTTTCCCGATATGTCTTCTGAATGAAACAGGCCATTTAAAAATAATTGAATGTAAGTTCACAATAAATACATTAAATAAGCAGTTACACTTTCCCAAATTAAAACAAAAACACACGCCACAATGGGGGAAAATAGAAGTCAGAGTTACAGAAACATCAAGTACTATGTTGAATGTGATTCAAAGTCGAGGTATTAGATCATGTGCACTGCCAAAATGCACCAAAACTAATTACATCAAATGCCTAAATTTAACCTTTTAAAACTCATGAGGTTTTATCCTCTATCCAACTCCGGCTGAGATGGAAAATAATCTTATCTCTTAAAATGTCCCGGTTTGTTTATTCTACCATGTTTAGTTGATGCAGCAGAGCACTGTGTGAAAGCAAATATCCGCTACTGAACAACCTCCTTTCCTTTGAGCCTTGCATAACAATACCAGAACCTTATTAAACACCGCCTCACCCACACTTACCAAACCTCGTCTGTCTCCACGCACTGACTAAACGCATCCCCAACCATCCAGTACCCCTGACACAGTTCCCTCTGCACGCCACCACTTTTACTTTTACCCTTTACTCAACTCTACAAGCCTAAACACAGACACGTCTGAATGACCACGTGTCCATCACACGCGACACCGGCAGTATGCCTGTATCAGAATACAACGTTTTACACGCTCAGCCACTATTCCAGCTTTCACACAGCCCCCTCTGCTTCTCTGCCCAGGTGACACACGCCTTCCTGCCTGGTAGCTGGAAATTGGTGTTGATGTAAATGCCATCCAATCCCTTACATGGTGTATAAAAAAACACACATTTAAAGCCAGCATTATTACAGTTAAAACCATCTCGATCTTACAACACCACAGAACTTTAAAAAATGAGGGAATCCTCTTTTTTTTTTTTACCGTACACTAATCAGGTTAAATCTCACATCTCACAAATTGATTGTATCTAACGCAAAATACAGTAAACCTTCACAAGGTTTCTCAGGAAGAGACCTTGCTGATTTCAAATCTCGCCAGTGGGAGAGACAGACATCTGTCATCACAATATACTTATATGATTATTATAATTTTTGTTGTTGTCACAAAGCTTAGCAAATATAGCTAATATCTGTTTTTTTTATTAACATAACAATATTCTTCATGACTTTGATTCTTTATGATGTATAATTCTGTACACAACAGCAAATTTATGGGGGTAATCGTGGTTAAAGCATAAAGTAACAGTAGGTTATGAGTCATTGGTCGGACAAAACTTACTGGGATTGCAGATGAAAGCACATCAACATCATTTTGTGATATGAGAAACCAATCATCCTCCTAAAAAGCATTTCACTTTTTGTAATGTTTTTTAATTATTTTCATTCATTTTTTTCGCACACACGATAAATCTTTTAAGCTACAAAGTGAAACAGTGACGAGAAGAAAGAGAGAAACTTTTGCGTCTACAGTACAAAAGACATAGTACTATTTAGTGGACAACGCATTAAGGAGATTTTTTTGTAAACTCATATCAGTGTTTTATCAGTGCAACAACATGTCAATCTCATCAGCAACTTGTCTGTATTTAGCACCACCACCTGCCTGAGCAACAGGGTGGATGTAGACAGTCATAGAGTCTCCGCCTCGCAGGAGACACGTGTGTGCAAACACTGCTTTGAAACTAAACCCCACAAAGAACTGCTGTTGTCTATTTTGTTTTTTATGCACATATGAACCGTACACCTTTTCTGTATTTCTGCTACAATAATATATTACGTTTCTTTTCTTTTTTTTTGTATAATTCACAATATTGAATACATTTCAATTTAAAGTTAAATTGAAAAAGAATCAACTTAAATTAAGCACTTTATCAATCTATTGAGTGTCCAAAATAAAAATAAAAAATACGACATGTCCTAAATGACAAGGAACAGACTTCACATGCCAGGTGTGCACCCAACATGCCTTAAGTAATAACAGTCATTTAGGTGCTTCCATGTTTACTGTAAACAACAACAAAAAAGATAACATTTTAATGAATATCCATTAAAGCAAGATATCATGCTAATAATAGATTAATTCTCAACAGTCTGATGATTGCAGATTTGAGACATTTGGACTTTTATTGAAGACTGCACCACTGTTACGTAGTCTTGGGCTGTGGTCCGATGTCTCTATTGCTTTAAAAGGGTCGTAATTGGAGTAAAATTACCTGGTCAAATTCTCTAAATGTTAAGGAAAGGTTCTTAAATACATTAATTCCTATCTGTTTTGACAAAGGGTAGACTGGACCTCAAAGGGAAGGGAAATCATGTCGACCCACTATTCCTTGTCGTAGAAATATTTAAAGTGAAGCACTATTTCTAGTCATTTGCCGACAACAAACGATCAACATGACTGACAAGGGACGCAGATCATCACGTTTTCATACAATCCTACTAATTGTGTTTCCTGTTGATACATATGAGTGAACGGGAGAGCGAGCAACCATTCTTCATGTTAAAAAACGTTTTTACTTCTATGACTTTCCAACTTTCCAATCCGTTGTTATTTAAATTCCAACTTTGGTACTTAAATCTTGCGCTAACTCACTCACTCACTCACATCAGTGTACTAATGAACAGGGCAAAGTATCAAAGATGAGCGTTCCATCTTCAGACCCTTGTGGTTTCACCATAGCGGACCAAAAGCAGTAACATCAACGTGGCCTAACGTGAGTGTCAGATTCTTATTGCCTCGGTTGTCTCTGACTATTTGACCACAGCCTTTGTTTCTACATGGGAGCATGCTAATGCTGACCATAAGCACTACAAAGCTGACCAGCTTTTCAAATTGGGCTTCTTGTCCGATTCGCATTGGCAATTACACAACTTTTGTGATGCAACACTGTGCAGCACAATATCGCAGGTTTGTGCAGCCACAAGTATAACGGACCAAACTCAACACAAACGCTTTTCATTTGCTTTGATATTCACTCATCCTGTATGATGGAAGTGCATTCAAGGAAAAGCTACAGTTTTTGATGCTTAGCACCAATGATGGAGACAAAGCCCAAAAAAACAACGACTAACCAATCAAAAAAAGGTGACAAAACATATCTTTGATACCAGAACCGGTATCAAAACAGTGCCCAGCCATTATCTCCATATTATACGTCATGAATGCATACCATTCCTAGGCAATCTGTTCCAAAACAACAATGCAATGCAAAAAATCCAACATTTACACCTTTCAAAGTGCCATTCAATAGGAATTGGAGAAAACGGATAACTGAGGAGTCTTCAACTTGTGACCACTCAGAGCAAAGTGAATTCAAAGTAACCCATTAAACAGGAAAAAATACATTAATGGGTACCCAAAACTAACAATGCCATATTTCTGCTTATAAAAATAGTTTTTACTATTAGAGCCACACACACATGCACGTTCAGAAGAGTCCCTGTTTCCCAACCCGAGGGCCGCAGGACCAGGATGGGCCAGACATGTGACTCTCGTTTAGGTCTATAGGTTTGTTCTGCTGCTGTATTCCAACCGTTATATAACAAGTGAATTTAAAAATCTTAATTTCCTCATATTTTACTGTAGTACACCACGCTGGTCGGGAGTAAGGTGTAATTTCAGTCAAGAGGTGTCAATGTTCTTCTGGGTTATTTGGGTCCGTACCGTTTAAAGCTATTGAGCACCGATACCCAGCCCAATGAAATGTAAAGATTTAAAATCTAATGGGGATTATAATTAGCTTTGATGATAATAATAGCCTCCTTGAAGGTATACAAGAGTATTTGTGCTACTGTAGCCCCATATCCAGCTTGACACAACCTCTGTGTTTGGGCCATTAGTAGATTGCTGTTTATACCCAACATCATACTCATTTAGGGGACAAGAATTCTCTCCTGAGAGTAAGACAAATAAATCACGCTGGCTGCAACAGGAACATCTAAGGGCACTTTCCAACCCAAATTTTGAAAAATACCTCCACTGCATCCAGAAACGTATCAAAGCTGAATCCTTGGAAAAAATATAGAACTTTAAATACAGCTGTCTGATTAATCAACTGTTAATAGGAAGCAGTACGGCCTTCTATGTGCCGTAGCAACTGCTTATTTGGTTGGTATTCACAAATGGGCAAGTACATCACTCAAAGAAATGTTTTAACTGTTTTCCTGTGCCTCAGTGCTGCTGGTTCACAGTTAATACCCGCTTATACGCTTAACACCTTAACGTGTTGAACAAACACACTTACAGATTACAACTATTTAAGCTTGATTGTCTCATTTTTATAAGAACATAAATCTTCATCTGCCGATCATTTGATTTCCATAATAACTAAAAACCTTGTACACATAAGGGGTATGAAGTATAAACATACCACAGAAGTCCCCCATGCCATGCTATTTCCTATTTCGATGACAGGAGAATACTGTGGAAAAGTGCAGAATGAAGATGACAATAAGAAAATAACTTCCACAGAAAAACTTTTTTTTCAACCAGCAACATCAATATGTGAAATGAGTGTCTCACAAATCTCCAACTCTCATTTCTGTGCTTATGTGTTCTGGTTGTCTTGTTTAGATAAAGTGCTTGTGTGTCACCTCAGTCTCTATAGTGCACCACCCACAGTGCAAATGTGAGTCCCATCCTGAGCTCAGTTACCTAGAAGCACCTTAAACACTGCAAGTATTTAAGATACATCAACCGTGGAGTGAAACTTAATATTTGCCTTTTCAGGTACTTAGGATTTCTTGTGCTTTACTTTTATAAAATAAATATATATATATATATATATATATATATATATTTAATGTAGGAATTTAAATAGATAGATAAATTAGATAAATTCAATTTCTCTCCACTAGGAAAATAATTTATGCTTGAAAGTAGCGAGCCAAAATGTTGGTTGTTTTGCTCAGAAAGGAGTAAAGTATCAGTATTCTGACAACTAAAGAGCATTCTCCTGTGGTAACCTTTTAATGTCATTATAAACCACTGCGCTTTAGCACCATCATCAGTTTGTGATCAGGTGGAGGCAGTATTCCAGTACTTCATCAGTGTGTAGTTCAATGTTGAATTCAGCTAAGTACTTCCAAATTGTGTTTTTTTTCCAAGCAGATGTTGAGCAAATGGGATTTCTAGTATTAGCAATAATAGCTCCATAAAATAAACTGGCTAGCTGAGCACAGAGCTGCCGTGAAAATGCAACCATTTTTGTTTTTACGGTGACCATCAACTAACCAGCCTCATAACTTCAGGAGAAAAGCTGTTCAAAATCTGCTCTACGCCACCTCGGCGAAGCTTTTGAGTGACTGTTGTTGGGTAATAGTTGTTTGCTGTGGCATCTCACCAGTGTTGGTAAGCACACAAACCGTTTCTGGTGACGAGGGGTGACAACACAAACCGGTACTTTGTTAGCCTGGCAACGGTGTCCATGTTGGTGCGCCTGGGGGTGGACATAGTGAAGCCTTGGTGGAGGTGGCGTGGCGCTGGTGTCTCTCAGCTGGGCTGCTGGCTGAGAGCAGGCCAGGCCAGCGTTACATTCAGCTGCTGGTTGTGCTGGATCAGGGACGTGTGGCGATAGTGCAGGACGAGCTCCCTCAGCGTCGGGTGCTGGTTGAAGGGCTCAGCGAAGCCGTAGCCTGTGGATGTTCTGTGGATCACACAATGCTTCACACCCCCGTCCACACTGCGCGAGACAAAACAAGACAGGAAACAATAGTGATGACTGAGGGAAGGTTTTAGGGTAGTTTGGATGTCCATGTGCAACACAATTGAAAATGCACGTTGCATTGGGATTAGCCGTCAAAGATGAGAGAGATCCAGATGCAGTGGTACTCACACAACAGAGCAGGCGAAGGAGCCTCTCTGAGTCTGGCTGTCTCTGATTAGAAAGGTCCCGTCCTTCCTCCCTCTCAGCAGCTCTTCTGCCTCCCTTCGCCTCATACCGCCAACGTACCAGCTTCTTTCCTCCTGGTCGGGATCTTCTGCCAGAGTGTAAGGGCTAAAGGAGGATTGGAACAATAATAACAATAATTAGCCCCCATCTGATGTATATAATATAATATTATATATATATATATATATATATATATATATATATATATATATATATTTTTCCCCTTTGATGCTAGTTTATCTTACCAACAGTAGAAACAGTAATAAACTGGTACAGTAACCTGTTTCAAAGTTGCCGAAGTTTGCTGGAGAAAAATGTCTTTAGCGTCTGATTTAATGAATTTATGTCTATTACATTTGAACTAATAGTCTATACGGTCGTTGGCATACTGCACAGATCCTTCCACACGACATGTTTGCATGAAGAGATACACATAGAAAATGAATCACACAGAATGTCACATGAAGCAACTAATAACAAATAGAAATAGTGAAATATCTTCTTGTATGTTCTACACTTTTCTGCTGACTTTTCTGTTTTAATTTACTTGCCCGGGTTAAATGAGGATACTCACTCTTCTTCTTCGTTCTTGATACCCAGCCAATCGTTTATCTGACTCTGTCTAGTGCCTTGCTGAGTGAGCCACCTGAAACGGGGAGGAAATAAAAAAGAAAGCCATATGATGATAACGTTTTCCATCAAGAAAATATTATCATGAATAGTCGTTACACGTCTCTTTATTTCAATTTACAGGAGTCTAAAAGAGGCTGCTAGAAGGACACCGTCCTCCCATCAGGCAGCATCGTGCTCAGCAGGCTGGACATTCACAGCTGTGGCAACATGAGATGAATCAGGCGAATTTGTCTTATTGTAATTGCCTGTAATCAAGAATCGTGGTGACACATCTGTTATCGCTGGGCTTAGGGACCCCATGTCGGGTCACCTGATATGCAGAGAGTTGTGATGAGCTACAGTACTTATGAGAGAATTTGGTCTCTATTACAAACATGTAATCCATTCCAACAATGCATTTATCAAGGGACGGAGGTTCAAGATATCTGTATTAACGTGTCTGTAATCTGTACTGGCGGGGCTGTCAGAGACGGTGAAGAAGGAAGCTTGAATATTTTTAAGGTTCAAACTATTCAAAACCTATTTTGAGCTCTGTGTACGTGACATCGTCTGCTAGCTGGCTGCTCTGTGCAGGGCGCCGTATTGACCTGAACTTTATTTGAGTTGAAATGAGGAGTATTCTGTACAAGATCTGCCCATTTTACTACAAAAAACGACAGGGAGATTGCATGAAAAGAATCCTACTTGCTGTTGGCTGAATCACAATTGAAAAAGGGAATTTAGTTTGAGATGTAGGCGTTTTCTTTATTAATCTCATGTGATGGGCACGTGGTAGATTTGTTTCTTCACCATTGGAATGTATCTTCAAGTTTAGGAATCTTGGCCGTGGCCCAGACCTTTACCAATGTTTTTTAAAACGCACAAAGATCTAGAAGATTAGGCGCTGAAGGGTTTCACTTACAGCAGGTATTGATCTCGGATCTTCCTGAGCTGCACCAGGTCGGGCTTCAGGCTGTCCATTTTCTTGTCGACCTCCATGTGGGCCACCGCCTTCCTCCTCAGCTCCTCCTCCAACTTCTTTTTGCTGTTGTGGATCTCCTCCACCCTCGACTGCAGCTCATCGGAATTGTTTTGAATCCTAGAAGGAAGAGGAGGAGGAAGAGATGTTTTTTGCAAATGCAGAAAACAAGTCAAGACACCACACAAATGGACAAAGGGTTGTTATATTGAAGCGTACTTGTCTGTCTGTGTGATGCTGTCTAATGTCATGAACATGTCGATGTATTCTTTGCTGTAACGTTCTTGTGTTTCACACTCCTCCTCAAAGATCCGAATGATTTCACTGAAAGCCTCGATGGCGGTCCGCTTGCTCTGCAGCTCCTGAGGAGGAAAGGACACAAAGCTTTACTTTTACTGTCAAGGCCTTACGGTCAGACCAAGTTCCCCAACATTCTGCTCTTCACCAATGGAACAACGGATGTATTCAGTAAAATGAAGTCTCAATGATTAGGGTAGTGTTGTACCTGAGAGGTTTGGTTAAACTTCTCAAACAGACGATCGTACTCTTTGCTCTTCTCTTTGTATTGATCCTGAAATATCCTCAGCTGCTCTCCAACTGCATCAATGTCAACCGCAATCTGTTGCTACGGACGATTAAGATATTTAGGAAGATGGAAGAAGGTTTTGAAAGATATTAAGGACCGGTTTCATTTTTAAAGCTCATGATTCCTTTTATCCAATCTGAAGATTACAGAATATTCGGTACATATAAGAGAATCCTTAAAATCAGCAAATTATCAATTTTACTTCTACTGCTCGGATGCTTCGCAAATCACATGTAGGACTACATAGTTTTAAATAAAATCACAGCAATAACAAATAACCACTACAATGACAATCAAATATCAAGTATTCACTTTTTTTATATTCAGTAATTCAGTAAACCAAAGTTTTAATAGTGAACCCACCTGCTGGTATCTGGTTATGGGATAGAGTAGCTTTGTGTCCAGTTTTGAGTTATACTGGGCCAGAGACTTATTCTGGTAAAACTGGATCAGGTTCACCACAGAGGCAAAGCCCACTGGCTCAGAAAAGCCGTACTTCCCCCCACGATGGAAGATCTTTATCAGTCTGTTGTAGCCGTCTTTCCTACGAAAATGATCAAAGCATAAATGTCACACTAAGCTGGGACCACTTCGATACCTATTGATTCTGTTTACATTGGGAAGTTTCTTAATATCAAAATATAAATAATCCAACAAGACACTCATTTATTTTTTTAAGTTAAGTTTTTTGGGCACCGTGGCATCACATGAATGAATGAGAATGGTCAATATCAAATTTGCCAAAGAGCCGATGTTGTTGGGAGCATCACTGAGTTATGCTGCCCAATAAACTCTACTTAGCGTGAAAGTAATTGTTTTAATCAGACCTTGGTTTGTAATCATTTTACCGGTATGGGACTGTACGGTTTGGATTTCTCAAGTACCGTTCATACCGGTGTTACGCAATATTGCCATGACACAACAACTTGTGACACATAAACAATTTGTAACACTAATAAATGTACATTCATAGAAAAATCACCTCACCGAACTCCATGCTGGGTAACAACAAGTAACTCTACATGTTGCTACATGAAAACACGGAAAAGAGCGATACAGGAGGAACAACGAGAGACCAGAGATGCACCAACACAACTTGTGCCCAGGAGAGGAGCTGTGTCTGTTTGGAGGGTTTTGGAAACTGACGTAACGTTAAGGTAACGATAGATCAGAAAACGATTTATTGCAAAGTCTGTCGAGTCTCTAGTGGCAACGCGAGCAGCCACAACAAGCTAACACGCTAACTAGCTAACACGCTAACAAGCTAGCTCGCCGGCCAGTTGCTAGCAAGCAGAGGCGAACAGCTGTTCGGGTAGCCGGTGAGTGGCGAACAGGTGTTTGGGTATCCGCAGTGGGGAACAGCTGTTTGGGTATCTACAGTGGCGAACAGCTGTTTGCAGCCACAACAAGCTAACTCGCTAACACGATAACGAGCTAACTCGTCGGCCAGTTGTGGGCAAGTTGGCCAGTTAGCGGCCTGGTAATTTTCCGGGTCAATGAATTAATGTGTTTAAATGAAAACGCCATACCGTGATATACCGGGATACCGTCAGAATCTTTCCTAATACCGTGACATGGCATCAATTTGTATCACTTTGTTGCACTCTGTTTTCAACTCTTCCGCTCTTTTCAATCATCCACCCAATCAAACATTTTATTGTGGAGCAAGGGAGCTGTAATGATTCACGCCAAAAGCAAAGCCAATTTTCGCCTACTTTACTCGTGCATGTAAAGCGGATTATTTCCCTTCCCGCCTGGAAGGGGGCGTGGCTTATCTCTGTTACATGTCTTGTAAAGACAGTTATCGTTTCCGCTATCCACCATGGCAATAAATAACCACAATTTCTGCTCTTTATTTGTTGTGTAAATTACGCAAACGTTGCTCGAATTTATTAGCGATTTAATCGTTTCGCTTTTTTCCCGTCTTTCGTGCCGCACGTTTAAAATTTGCTTCATTCGCGACAAGACGAAAGCAAATATAGCCAGCAAATTATTTGCTTCGCTTTTGGTGTGAATGCACCATTAGACAATATTTGATTTTCTCTTCAGCGTAAGATTTTGTTAAGTGGAAAATATTGTGATTTGAAAGATCCTCCGTGGCGCACAGTTATATTTACTGTAATGTTGAAAATGATCAGTCAGTCAAAATTAGACTTCTGGAATCAGCGTGAGATGATCGGAGCTGTTTGGCCTGATATCACTGATATTAATTCATTGTCCTGTTTTGTCCCTTTATCTGGATTCCAACAACCAAGCAACAAAGAGTCATCTTTTGTGAATGTGGAGACGATGTAGACAGCGTTGCTCAAGTGTGTTAAATGTTCTGTTAAACACATGAGACACGATGCCACGTGAGACAAATTACTGGAGAAACGCGTGTAAAAAAGGTTAAGTTTCTGTACGCTAGAATCTGTGACATGCTCCAATCAACAAAGCTGTGGAACTTTACCAAACTGTAATAGAAATGTCTAGAAATAGAAGTTACAGTCTAAAACCGCAAAAAACTAATTTAGACATTAAAACTAGCAAATAACTGACCTTTGACAAGTACATATTTCAATCATATTATTAGCTTTCCAAATACTTTATTACACAGCAAGACCACTTAACCAGTTTAATGTCATTTTTGCAAGTGCTCACAACACGTAGAAGTCAAAAGTAGTTACCTAAGAGTCAGAGTGTATTCCCCCTTGACCTTACTGGAGGCATCACGGACCAGGAACGTGCCATCAGGGGTGTTTCTCATCATCTCGTTTACTTCCTCTCTGGGCAACAACAAAAGAGCATTACGCTTTCAATCTGGTCATTGAGGGGTTTTCAGTTGTGTTTTTATTTTAAACTTCAACATTTACACATCGTAAACAAGACAGATTAATCATCAACATGTTATATGAAAACATTCGATACCTGGAAGTACTTCCCCAGTACCACTCAGCATCCGACAGATGGTTGTCATCAGAGCTGCAGTCGCATGCTGCCATTGCATCGGTCATGTTGTTCTTAGGTTGAAGTTCTGACCACAGATGCAAAAGAACAAATTGTTATTATACAGAAAGGCAAACGCTAAAGATAAAATCTACGTGGGAAAAAAAGGTCATTTGATTGATTAAATAAGCTTCAGAACATCTTTCATACTGCCAGCAAGCCGAACAAAGAGGTGCTTGAGATTTACCTCCCTCCTTGACAACGTCGGCTCTTAGTGCGTCAAACACCTCATCGTGATTGACGGGGGAGGAGAAGTCCTGCAGCAGCGCAGTCAGGGTGCGAGAGCAAGGCTCGCCGCCGTTTTGGTCCTCCTCAGGCTCCGAGAACTCTGCAACATCAACGGCCCAGTGTTACTCCCGCCGTCACTTCAGACCGGTCTGCATGTGGCCATCTGCACTTTGCGGGGGTTGAGCTCACACTGCTGGCCCCGCTGACGAGGACTCCGAGGGGAGATATCGGTGTGTTGCTTTAGCCTTGCACCACGTGGGAGAGTTTGTCCAGACTAGTCTACTGGCAGGTGACACTGTCTGACTGCCTAAAATACCAGAATGGGCACTCCTCAACACCCGGAGTCGACCGCCGGACTCTGCTCGGGCTCGACCTCGCCTTGCTTTGCCTCGCCTAACAAATGACAGCTGTCTGCAGCGAGATGCCATGGGCACGAAGGACTGGAGCTGTTGATGTGCTGCTGTGTGTGATTGTGTTGGTTGTCCATGTGTGTGTGTGTGTGTGTGTATTCGGAAAGCAGGGGAGGTTGAGAATCCGTCTGTCAGGCATTTCATTTACGTGTGGATCGTTTGTGTTTACTAGTATGTGAGAGGCGCGCCGTTAGCAGTTGATGTAAATCATCCCTTCAGCACTTGTGATGGTATGTCTGAAGATGCATTCAATTGCTGCTGCAAATAGAGCTGAATGTTGGAGGAATCACATATGCTGTAGTAAAATTAGAAAGAGCGTTTTACTCATTAGCCCACAGCCTGCAAATAGTGAAGCTCTGTCCAAACTTGTCCTGCACAGAAACCTGAGAAAAGCTCTGCGTCTTATTTATCCGTCGGATACAAGCCTTTAAAATGATGTAATTTCGCTTAGTTTGCCAATTTCTTGTTTCACAAGCGCTAAAAAGATTAGTGGCTTAAATGGTTGAAAAAAAAAATTGGTTGGCATGTTTTGTTATTTTTGTTATTTTGTCAAAGCATTTTTTAATTGATTGTTACAGTAAATTTTAACAAATATTTTTGTCAGTCAATATAAAACTGAGCCAATATTACAAAGTAATAGTAAATGTGTTAACTGAGTTTTGCAACATTCAATTTGGCACCAATTAAATGTATCTTACCTTTAATTTAATGCTTCTTTTAGTTTGTTCACCGCCTCGTTGCATTAAAGAACCCTTTAACTTTCATACACACACGTTTAACATTTTATGCAAATTTAGGCCTTTAGGCTTTTAGCCCTCAATGTACTGAAATAGCTTAACGTTTCTACTCACTTGTAAATGCATGATTACCATCTATCATCTCTAGCAAGTGATATAATTACTGTGAGTTTTGTTGTCACCCAGTGGGGCATCAGATAAATGTACTGAGATGTAATTGACAGGAACTTCTCGACACCATCTAACGCCTGATTAAATGGAGGCGACATTTGACTATAATTACTATAATTTACTATTCTAGAAAGTCCTATCCATACTGATGTGTGGGAAAGAACCACATCTTACCTGGAGCTGCTGGTGAAGGCTCAGGCCTGCTAGCGACGGGTACGTCTGTTTGCCGTTGTGATTGGTTAAGCAGTGACGACGAAGAAAATACAGAATGAGGCCCAGGATTATCCCCCGTGCGGTTGGCGCTCTGGTTGATGGCCGCAGCGCGGTCCCTGAGATGGAGGGATGCTAATGACGACGTTGGGAGGTCAGCTTGCTGCAGCTCATTGTCCTCTGCGCTGTTCAGCGCTTTGAGGTGGAAACCCGCTTCTGCCATTTTGACTGAATATTCCAGTTTAGGCTTTATTGAGTTGGAGAAGCTGTGGGACTGTCGGGTGCCACGGCGCCGTTGATCACATACTATCAGCTTGGAGTTACAATCATGGCTGAGGAGAGAGAGAGAGAGAGAGAGAGGCGCTGCAGAGTTCAAGGCCGCCCCGTGTTGTGGAGGTGGAGCATTTCTCTCAGCCTGAATCCCCGGTTGAACTTCATCACGGAGCAGAGCGATGACATTTTCCCTCGAATGTACTCAGTGGACGTTTTCTCTGTTCCGCTTCACAGTCATTTGCTTAAAGGGATTCATATCTTGGAGCAACCCAGAACAACCACAGTTTGTTCCCGAACAGCTGCCCGCCTGCTTCATAGGCACTTTGCCACTAGTTATTGAGCTGTAAACCCAGTGGCGAGTAACAGACTGAAGTACGGCCGTCTGATTTCATTCTCACGCATCATCTCATGTCAGAAAACCTAAAACAAAGAAAATGCATGAATGAAGTGTGAGGATTAGTACTGAGAATTAGGAAAATAAGCCTTTTTGAATGCAAACATGAGCCAAATAAGGGTTTGATAATCTTCTCTTGTGTCACAAATCTGTCCCTTATTTGATATTTTGGACAGTTAAACAGGAACTTGTGGCAAATAGTAAACAGCTGGTATAAGGAGTTACCTTTAGGGGCTTCCTGCTAAACAGGTTTAGAAAAACGGAATCATCGCTGTTACCGACATGTTAATACGTAGCATATTTATATGTTATCTGATAGGTGTTAACACATCATTGTCCGGCTTAAATGATTATATTGTAAAGAATCCACGGGACTGTGACTAAATCTGCTTTCTCTCCGAAGCATCTGGGATTAGTCAGCAGTTATTACCCTCCTGTACCCTTGACAATGAGACAAGCGGAGAGAGATGGGAGTGTCATCTGCGCTACAAGACTTAAATTATTATAACTTAACTGTGATCTATATGTTTTCTAATCGAGATCAGAATAGTTTAATCCCATAATTGACCGGATCCCATCACAATATATTTTAACAGAAATTGTTATAGTTGCTGACCTCACAACCAATTTAACAAAAACACAGTAATGTCATTTAACTTCTGTTACTAAATCCTTTTCTCATTCACTAAATCTAAGCACCATTTTTTGTTATCATAGGAATCAAAAAAGCTTGAAAAATACTGATTATGAGACCACTATAATTTACTTTTTGTTAATACAGATTACTTTGAATGTGTTCAATTGTAACCTGTAATCGATGGAAATTTGCCGATCAAAATTCGAAGCGTTGGAAATGGCGTCGACATAAAATACTTCCAATGTTACGCAGCCATGGAGTCTTGGTGGACGGTGTTAAAGTGGCATCGTGTCCAGATTCTGTTTTAGATGCTGCACGATACTAATCAAAAGTCCTGTGATTTCTATAACGTATAAAATCTTCCAATGTTTTTATACTTTCTTAAAAAAACATTGGGTCTATTGGGTTGTTTCATTGATAAGCTTTTTTGATGTCAATATCAACATCTTCTATTTATGTTTTCAAGTGAGAAGAACGTGCTGTCCCAAACTAGGATTTGCTAATCAAAGTAGATGTTTTTTGCATAATTATTAAATTAGTCGATCCGTGAGAAAAAAATAATAGTGAGAAACGAAGTTGGAGTCCTAAAAATCAGTTTACGTACGTCGCTTTTTGAAACGCGCTTTTTAAAATGTCACTGACTTTATCGGACAATTTAGCCATCAAGAATTGAAGAACATATTTATTTTGCTGAAGATTGTCTTCCGAACGTGTTTTCGGTCAAATGTGCGACGCTCGCACTCGGCCATTGATCAGTGTTGCATCTCGAAAACGGGACGGCTTACATCCGCCATATTTCCCCGCACGCCTTGGAGCTTTCCATCGTCCCGTATCGAAGCTGAAGGAATGACGATGCGAAGGATGAAACATGCACACAACTTTCAAAATGGCAACTTCTGGTGTAGACAAATTCCCGAAGAAGCCTGAAAAAAAGGAATCGTCATGATGAAACTCAGCAGGACGGGACAGCACGCACCTACCTGGGCCAAGACAGAAGGGACCGGGCGGCTGGGGGAAGCCGACGCTTCATCGACATCCATGAAGGGTCGAAGAGACGTAGCAGGACGCACACGTGGCTCAGATCAAACCAACCACCGGCCTCGGTCCTCACGCCATCCAATGTCCCTCTACCCCTCCTCTCCTCTCAACCCGCACCGCCTCTCTCCTGTTTCCTCCATCTTTTTAAAGATCCTCTCCACTTGGTTGTTGTCCATCCCCTCCGAATGCCACATTTTCCCACCCTGCCGTTCCTCTGGGTATTTTCCTCTGCTCGTCACGATGCTCTTCCATAAAAATTCCTTTTCCATGACACTTGAATTTTACTTTTTGCATGCAATGCACACCAAAAAATCCCTCTGATATGTGTGATGCAGTATAAAAAAAAACCTATGCAATAATATAAAAAACAAACCTGTAAAAAGCCTGTAGGTTTTAGATCTTGTGCAGGTAAATGAAAGGCAAAGGTAAAAGCAGCTCTACTCTTTGCGCTGTAACTCTTTTTCACAGTTTGAGAGCACAGTGTGAATGCACAGTGGGGGGACAGAAGCATGAACATGAGTCGGTGGGAAAAAAAAAAAAACTCCCATATAAATAAATAAGGGAAGGATGTCACTGTTGCTATACAGAGCGAGAGGCTTAGTGGTCTCCCGAAATCCTATTGGCCGGCCTGTTGCCATGTGCTCAGGAGTCAGCAGAGATGCTGCTAACAAATCAAGGAAATGTTCTAATATTAGACTGTATGTATCTAGGCAGCGGGAGCCCCTGACCTCTCAACTCAGCCAGCGTTGCGTTCCGCTTCACAGATCAACATAATGAAAGAAATGGTGTGGAAGTAACTGGTTAAAAAAAAAGACGTTACGGCACCGTAGACAAAACAGCAGACATGGTGACCGACCACCGCAACTCCCTCCACGGCATCGCAGGCAGAGCAGTTACAAACAGACATCCAGGAGAAAACCCATTTGTCTGCTTGATATTGCTGATGTGCTGCGTTTTATGAGATGCAGATATGTGTTGTGATTACGCTGTGTTTTTTCTTCTCTGGACAAGTTGAAGAGCATTTAGTTCATTGAATATCTTCTTATTTAAGTGGTTTTATTCTTTTTATTTGCTGTAATAGAGTAGGTCCTTGCATTAAAAATGAATCAAATTGTAACTGAGCAAGAGATTAAAAAAAGGGTGCTGCCTATCATTTGTTTTCTGGTATATGCTTTTTTTAACCTGTTAGCTTGCATTTCTTATATATTTTATGAATAATATTCCGTCATACATTTAATCAGTATTGTTATATCTTCTGACAATGGATAACATGTATTGTCTTATTTTAAGACAATGGCATTTCCAGCACATTCATCAATACTTATCTGCTGAGTAACTTACCTCTTTTTCCACAAATGTAAACAGGAGTTATATAGGAGTTATGGGACAGGAGGTCCCATTCTCAGTAAAATAAAATCATATGGGCTTTGCTGTCTAGATCTTACTGCTTTTGGGCAAGCTCTTCTATTTGAGCACATATGAGACCATATTTGCTGCTTCCGAAGCGGGTTGATGACGGAGAAGTGCCGATAATGTGCATCTACTGCAGGGTGCAGGTGCAGCAGTGTGTTTGACAGATCCGGGGGAAGTGAGGCTGAGTTGTCACTCCCATCAAGCTCTTCTAATTGGATGGAGCGAGAGACAGATACAGAGATTCAGAATGGGCTTTATTTGGCCAAATAGGCTTTCACATACCATGGATTTCACTCCATTTGTGCTCCTCTTACAATAAACTAACACAGAAAAAGAAATAACAAGGACAATAACAGTACAGGTGGACAGATAAAGAATAACATATAATATCTTTATGCTAGTCAAGTGCTCTGGAAGTTGTAAACAAATATGAATATTGCAAAAAAATTGATACCAAAAGAATATATATATATAGAATATTTTTTCCCAACAGCACCGCTGTGGGGCTTAAATTAATCGCAGACAATTAAATCATTAATTTTTTTCTGATAGTTTATCGTCAAATAAAATTCATGATTGTGACAGCGCTGTTTATATGTGACAGTCAAACAGGATAAGTAAATACACAAATATTAATTTGAGCAGGGTCGCCCTTAACGCTTCGAAAGACCAATTCACTCAAAGTAAAACTGGCAGAGATGTGAGGTATCATAACTGCACCATTTATCTAAATGTGTAACTGTATTTGACAACTAGTTTGAATACTGTGTGTTCTGAATAAGAATAGAGGTGGAGCAGCACTTTAGACTTCATCCTCAGGCCCCATCTGAACTTTTATCCACTGATGAAGCATCGTTCACTTCCTCATTGTGAGGTTAAGGAACTCCTTCCTGGTTGTCGGATCGTCATGGAATTTTCCCAGCATGACACTTGTAACAGTGCTGGCGTTTATCTTCTGCACGCCTCTCATCACCATGCACATGTGGCTGGAATACACAAACGAAGGTGTTGTATCATAGATGAGAATTGAGGAGTCTTAAGGCGGGTGATCTTAGTTTCACCATTGTTTTGGTATCTTTTTATATATTTGATATCTATATCTAGCGCCTGCATCAAACAATATCAAAGAACGATGAGAAATCAAGATACCCCTATTGGATTGACCAAAACATCAAATTACAATATGGATGCGACAAAAGCTGAACACTCACGCAGCCTCAATCACCACGGCTACTCCAGCAGGCTCCAACGCCTCAGAGATGGCAGAAGCAATCTGTTTGGTTAGACGCTCCTGAACTGTGGAGAAAGTAACACATCAGATGTCACACACACATGTGAAAAGAGATGAATAACATTACAAAAGCAGATGTGTGTGTGTACAGTATCACTGCATTCAGTTTTGACCTTGAAGCCGCCTGCTGTAGATCTCAACAATTCTGTAAAAAAGAAGAGTATAACAGGTAGGTTACTTTGTTTGTGTGTGTGTGTGTGTGTGTGTGTGTGTGTGTGTGTGTGTGTGTGTGTGTGTGTGTGTGTGTGTGTGTGTGTGTGTGTGTGTGTGTGTGTGTCACCCACCTAGCAAGCTTACTAAGGCCCACCACTTTCTTGTTTGGGAGGTACGCGATGTGAGCCTGGAATATGGAATAAATAAAGTAATGTCTCTGTATAAGATATGCAAAATACATCAACCCTCAAATATACACGTACCATCAGGAACATACATTTGAATTTGTTTTGAGGACACTGAATAGTTACCTTGCCAAAAAAGGGCACCAGGTGATGTTCACAAAGCGAGAACAACTCGATATCCTTGACGATCACAATCTCTTCGTGGTTTTCGTCAAAGATCGCATCATTCAACACATCTGTGGATCAGATGTTAGCTTTGTATTCAGTGTCCATACAGGAGCAACAGGTTCATTCAGAATTCATTCATCAGTTAGAACTCAGCATTTATCTAAGAAAAACATAACTTTGGATCTTCATGAACGTTTGATCTTTCATAAATCGACCAAGACGTTATCAACATATCCTTATTATTCCCTTCAAAATGAAAAGTCGAAAGTCTCTACATTCTCAAGTGTTGAGATTTTAAATCAACACTCCGGAAAGTTCAGCATTCAACAAGATAAAGAAAAGAAATGCGTCCTTGCCCTGAGTTGTTTCCTTGTAGCCTTTGGTGAGGAACTGCATGGCTTTGGCTGCACGCAGTGGTGTACGTAGAAGTCCCTCCCGGTCCACATCCTCTCCAAGCTCACTCAGTATGCTGCTGTAAGCCGTCTCTACCTTAGACACCTCTTTTGCTTCTACATTGTCCTTGGTCTCCTTCTTTTCTTTGCACAAACTATAATGTTTGCACACGGTCAGATTCCTGTCAACTCCTCCGTTCACCTCTGGAGCATGTCGACACTCCATGATGGCCGCTAACTGTAGTTTCAGTGTAGGATACTGAAACACACAAGGAAATAGGCAAAGTAGTACACGGATTGTTGTGTGACCCTTGTTTTTATACCCTGATGTGAGGACGTCACTTGAGCCTCAAGACCCCGTGCAGAAAATCATTATATGTGAAAAATTGTCAATTTGAGTGGGTGGGCTTAACCTCACCGACGAGGAATAGATTGCCACAAAAATCAATTTCCTATTTCCTTGAATTAAATGCATTGGAACAGCATTTAACTGATCCTGTGATTTTAACTGAAGTTACAATCACATGCTTTGATTTGAGGTCACAGAGGATGTGACTTGGAACAACGTCCACTCGTTCGCAAGCAGTGAAATGAAGTTGAATAAGATTCAGCAGATGGCTGATGTATTGTCCTGGACTATGCGGGATTAACCATTGCACACAAGTGGTGGCTATAAATTCCCATAATAGCATCAGAAATGAGGATGGAAACGAATAATGGCCAACTGGCAAATGTCCCACTCAGCATTTATCTACGTCCCAATTCTTAACGAATGTAATGTAAAATAAAATGAATGGAAAAAGAAATAGAAAATCAGGAGATGAGAAACTGTGTCTTAATTCCCTTCCCTCTTAGAAACACATTAGCTCACTCAACTCACACTTATTTGTTGTATCGTGTCTTTTCGGCGTGTCAGAAAAGATCCCTTTGGCCTTCTTATTTGAACACATTTTAATGGTTTTGTGTTCGGCATGTTGCCCGTTTTACTCTCAAATTTAAAAAAAAACCTCAAACACCATTGAAATTCCAAAAAACCTAAAACCTATGAATAAATAATAACAGACCCTGGGAAACTCAGATACTTTTACTTGAAATGATGTGTAAGTAGGAAATTATTGTTCCTATCATGATTACGTGCGAAGGTGCAGAGCTCTGTCTTCCTCCTAATCACGCCGTGTGATTTACTAAATCATAAAAAGCCCCGGGTTCACTCTCCATGTCATACATTTTAAAGAAACACAAGACCGACCTTCACCCTGCTGACTGTCTTGTGGTCCAGAGGAATGCTTGTATCTCGATGGACCTCAAGATGCACCCGGCGCATTAAACAGGACCTCAACCAAACGCATTTAATGAGCATGAACTGAGCGGCTACTTTAGTTTTACAATTTCTATCCTCTTCAAAACGTCATGCCCCGGTTTCCTTATGGAACCCTTATTAAAGAAGCTTCTCAGAACGGTTGTGCCTTGATGTCACAATTACACTCGTCATGCTCGCCGGTGTTAGAATATTGATCCTGGTACCTTTTGACTCCTCGCCTTCACATGGCCTCGTGCATTAATTAATACTGAGTGGGTGTAATGAGAAATGCTTTGTTTGACACTTCTCTTTGAATGTGAGACAGAAGTGTATTAAAGGCATGACTGATGTCAGGTTCAGCTTACTGATGGTCATATGCTGCCATACGTATGAATGTGTCAATCAATTTGTCATGCCCTGCAAGGCATGAATATTTTGTGGCCCTTTTCTTTATTTAGAGGCAATTGTGTTGGCAGATAATTGCCAGAATTATTGATAAGCAAGCATCATTATTTGCTAACTATAAAATAAATAGCATGACAATTGTTAAATGGAAATTGGGCCTCCGTGTTTTATTAAGTGCACTTAAGATGCATGCTGTTGAGATTGAGAAAACTGATCAAACCTGCATGTACCCACAATCTTTCAATGTAAGATAAATAAACTCAAAAGTGTCAATATTGCTTGTTAGGTCCGTCAGTCAATCATTTTGTGACAAGACCAAGGGCATTTGAAGCAGCATTGCACTGCAGTTACAAAGGCTGAAAATAAAACTGTAGTTCTTCGTCATTCCGAGTGCGTCACCTTCGCAAAAACAAAAAGGTTTTTGCAGCTGTGACTCAGACACACAGGAATTCAATAAGAACTGCATGCGTTTTCCACACCATACCTAACTTGGACAGGTGGAGATGAAGTGGAAAACCTAATAAAACATTACACAATTTGTGCAGTACAGTGTACGTATAGATCCGTATGACACAGCATATATTTATCAGAGGTTCCAGATGTCAGACATTTTGAGATGTGACATCTTGTAACACAGCGGTGTCGTTGTGCTCAAGGACACTTTGACAGGAGCAGGAGTGGTTGAAGGACGACCAGAACCTTTTGTCTAGATATGGAGCTAGTTCAGTCTCCCGTTAATGCAAAAAACACCCTTTTTGTGACTTCACTCTTTGCCATTTCCCCAGTTGCTCAGGACAAACATAACAGGAGTTCATATTTTCCTTCTGATTCCAGTCGTCTCTGTTGGGCTCCTCTAACGTTTCCTCACAGGGATGTTTTGCGGTTTCTGCAAACAGATGAAAATAAATCTAATAGCAGATGTCAATCAGTTTTAAGAATATTTGCAACTATAAGAATTTCACAAATTATCTTGCAGCATTGGCCAAAACCTTTTTTCTTTATCTTTTCTGCTGGCTGAGACAGAACTAGTCAGGAGGACATTAGACAGGAGAGCAGAGGACTGGAGGTTTGACCGACACTTATCTGGACTTACGTAGATCTTCAATGTGGTACTGAGATGTTACAGAGTATCTCTAATGATATTCCAGAGGGCTTTAACCCGGAGACCCCTTGTGACTGTCACCAGACACTCTCATGGGGGCCATTATAGCGAGAAGACCAGCACACTACGTTCTGAACCAGTTTAATACGGTTTGTGTCCCTTGGTTCAGTGCTGGTAGGAAGGTCACATTGCGATTAATTCACAATAAGGGAACACAACACAGCATACCTACACGTTAGCTTGCTAATCAGAGTTTAAATCGCAAGTGCTGGTACAAAAACGTAGCAAGTTCAAACTAATTAAATCATTTCACTGTTTAAGATTCCTTTGTTGTTCCAAACAGTAATCATTGAAAACATGTTACCAAGACAACTGATCTCCATCAACTTTTATGTAAATATGTTTATTTCAGACATGGTTTTGATATATTTGTGTATGTATATGAACACTAAATGTACAGACAGTTAGTGCAGACTATGACGGTGGAGAGGCTCACAGACCAGTTAACCGAGGCAGGACAGGAAAGAGCCGACACACACCGGCTGTGTCGTTGGGTCATGTGACGTACAGGCTGAACTCCGGTCGATCAGCCAGGATACCCGACTACGACAGTTTCTGGAGCGTTGGCATTTCACTTGTAAGACAGTGATGCATTTCGATGTATATTGTAATGTCAGTGTGTCGACTTACATGGAAAATTAAGATTGAATTACATTTTTCTTATGTGCATCGTATCCTACCGGTGTGTGTCGCTCTAAACTGAAAATATATTAGTGGAGTGCAAATAATTAATATAACAAGAGTTTGAGATCTCATGTAGATATGCAAAGAGCTCTTATTAGTCAAGTATACTATATAACCATTAACAACTTTTATGGAAAAATAATATTTTCATATTAACAATAATATATAATAAAATGCAGGACATATGGCAATATATAAATACATGTATGTTTTAGTAAATTCCAGTGGAGCTTTTCACAGCTCAGATCCAGTTATGTTTGCTGGTCACTAGTCTACATCGGCAGCCGGGATCAGTCTGAAGGCCACGACTTGTGGGAGCTGGTGGGGCTTCTTGGCTGGACTGTTGGACTCCCCTGAAAGACCACACATCAAATAATTATTCTGGAAGAGATTATATTTTATGAATAGTTCATGGGAGCGTTACATGTTGACGGAAAGGCTCCTTTATTCATAATCATTTAAACGTTAACTGTATTTTCATTGTACGTTTTGTAGCACCGATAGAGGGCAGCAGTGCCTCTTCAATCAGTGCTGCAGACACTGCACAGACTTCAGCCGGCTTACATTTTCCCGGCATGGTGCAAGTTGGGGGGCTTTTTAACCTTAACCTCACTTAATAAAAAAAAGCTGACCTGCCAGCTAAAAAGTTAGCCCTCCACTCAAAATCCTATTTGGAACTCTGTGCACAACAGAGTTCTAAGCGGTCGACTGCCCCATCTCTCGCTCACCACAGGCGGTGTCCTCGCATAGTTCATGTGGGCGTAGAGCAGCACAGCCGTGTCGTTGTGAGACGCCTCCAGCGCGATGGACAGAGCGTTGCTGCCGTCCTGCAGACAGCAGAGAGAGTAAAAGGGAATTTGTTGACCCTTAAAAACATGATACAATAGAGAATGTAACAGCTGGTCTTGGTTTGTCACGGCAGAAAAGGGTTTTCCCCTCTGTGAGATGTCCTGCTCAGAACATCTTTTTATAAAAGGGATCCTTAAGTAAATAGTTGTTCATGTTTTTATCAAATATCAGCCAATTATCAGCTCGCTTTTTTAAATAACAAATATTGATATGAGGTAGGGAACGTGACTACGGGGAGCTTGTACCTATTTATTTGAGACAAACATTATTGAGTAGCGTAAAAGAAGCATCGAAGCCGTTGCGTCTATTTGTCTCAGTTTTTTTTCAAATGTATTTCACCCGTTTCACAAAAGTTTCAACGGTTCCAATTTGCGTCGACTAACGACATGCTGGGAAACGTAAGGGAGACTCACCCTCACTAACCTAACCAGCATGATCGAGCTGACAAGACCCATTCAGACAGTTCAACATGAATTAATGGACTCATTAACTATTGGAACACTGAACCAAAAGTCGAGTACGCTTAGACCTCTAGTTAAAATGGACGGAGTTTGTACAAAACAACTCTTCTGTTTCTCATAGTAGTGGCTTGTCATGCTGTTGTTTGTGTGTTCACAGGACAGTGGAGGTGGGGGCTTTTCCAAATGTTTTTCCTCCCCCAGTCCACCTCTCGGTCCAGCTATGCTGCACTGAAACACAATCCAGGAGCTCCCGTCACTGAATGGTCGACTCATTCATGGCACAGATGTGAATGCTCAGATTTCAGTCTGCCCGGACCCTCCGCAGGCCTTCGGACCGACGTGAAATCACTTTTAAACACACAGCTGTGCAGATTAACTAAGCGAGGAATGTCCCTAGCAGCTGTGATACTTGATGATGATGTGATAGACAGAAGTTTTGGTCCTTTTTCTGCTATTTGAGAAAAAAAAAGGAATGAAAAATTGAATAAAAATTTAAACTGGGCATTTGATGGAGGAACGTGTACAAGTCTGCAGGCCATTGTGTCTGAAAACTACGCTTGTTAATGGAGGAGTTGTGGGTTTTTAATTCATCCCTCAGGGGCCTTTGACTGTTTCCAGTAAACAACTCTGCTCACTGCTTGTAACCAGATGGAGTCAAAATTAATCTGATCTCTTCAGCTCTCAGCCCGTCTTTTTGATGAAGAAAAAGTAGAGCGGGAGAAAAAAGATGCAAGAAGGAAACGGCAGACAGTTTTCCCCACAAGGAACCGTTTCCTGAGAACAGATTAAGCTGAATCCCAGACGAGACGCCGATGGTTTCAGCAACGATGGAACCAACAGTCGGCCTCGCCCGTAAGTTCAGATCAAGCCACTGAGCGGTTTCCTCGACGAGGGCAAATGCCTTACGTTATCGACGATGGAAATGTCGCATCCAGGCTGCTCCAGGAGCAGCTTGACAATCTCGGCGCGGCCGTGTTCGCTGGCACACATCAGCGCCGTGGACCCCTCGTCGTCCTGCACGTTCACGTCAGCGCCGCACTCCAGCAGCGCCCGCACCATCTCCTGCCGACCGTGGCTGACCGCCAGCATCAGCGCCGTCTGGCCCGCCTGCAACAGGTAGAGGGTGTCATTTCTCCCCAAGACAGATAGCGTTTTGTGGATCTATTGTTATTTATTTATTGTGATTGAAAGAATTACACCATTTACAGCTTAAGAAATATCGCAAAAAAATAATAAAGCCAAACCAACACCGACTCACTGATATTTTATTATGTTTTACTATCGGAGACGATATGAATGAGGAAATTGTTGTTTCCACCATTCTTCACTCTAATGTGAACTTAATTCAAAGAGAAGCGATTTCTAGTCAACTGTTTGATGTAATTGACAGATCTTTTTTGTTTGTCCACAAAGAACCACACCAAGTAATGGTTAACTAATCATGTAAAAAGGGAGCAGTTTTAGCTATTCTCATTTATTCACGCTACTCACATAGTTCGTGCAAACAGGTTTCAAAGAGTGGCGTTAAGTTAGTCTCTGTGTCAAAGTCATAAGGCTTTATTGTTAGCCTACCTGTAATGTATAATAAATAACATTAAAATCTGGCTTTGCGTCGCTCAAAGTGTATATTGGTTTTCAACAAATGAAAAATGCGTCTTGGTATCTCCTCTTGAACTCTTGCTTTTGTTCAACTATTCAGAGACTGCTGTGGGTCCCTTTAGGTTTTCTGGGGGAAATTGTTGCCCATTACCTTCTTGCAATGTAAAAGTAGCTGTAGAGAAACATAAAAAAGGCTTAAAACAAGAATTTCAGAAGATTTTAGTGCAACCTCGGCCAAAGTGGTTTTATGCAACAGGGCGCAAACTAAAACATTGCTGTGTACGCCTTTTGTTTTTCCCCCCACGGCCACAACAACCAGTGCCAGTAATTGCATTTATAGCATCACTGGCTATAAATCCAGAGTCCTGTGACTTGGCAGTGTGAGAGCCGGTCATGTGCTGCGTTCAAACACAAATACATGCAACCTGATCAAATAAAGCAAAGAGATAAACAGATTGTCAACACATTTCTCTAATGTGGTCGAACCTGCATCCAATTACTCATCTGACTGAATACAGAACTTCTTTACAACACAGGGAGGCTCTTTTAACACTTTCCCCCATTGAAGTAAACAGGGAACAAAGGCGGCTTTTATCCCTAAGTTCTATTTACCTTCACTCAAACCAACGAGAGAATCCCATAGATATTCATTCAAAAGCTGGTTTGTATTTTGCCTTATTAAACTTAACTTAAAGTTTGATGGGACTTATGAGTCCCATCAAACTTTGTTGACTGTTCGTTGTGTCTCTGTTGTTGCAATACTATTTTGAGGGCTTGAATGTCACACACTTTAAAACAGTTTGAACAAAAGGAATTCTATGAAAACTTGAATCTATTAAAAGTAATGGTAGTAATATAGCAAATATATGCTTCTTTTACCCTGGTTCTTATTTGACTGTACAGTCTCAGTGCTTTTGCTTTTTGCACACACACACGTCGGTCTTGCACACCTTGTCAGGTGACACTTTTTTTACAAGCAGAACTGAACCTTAAAAGTCTTCCAGCAACGTGCGTGCGTGCGTGCGTGAGATGAGGACTTGCCTGGCTGGCCTTGGCGTTGACATTGCCCTGACTGAAGAGCCTCTTGACCACAGCCATGTCCTTCTCCTCCTTCACAGTGGAGAGAGCGGCCAGCATGATGGCCGTGTAGCCCGCCTTGTTCTGCTTGTCCACACGGCACAGACCTGCAGCGAGCGCAGGCTGTTTTAAGCACAGAACCGCTTGCGTGTCGGTGCAGACTAGTAGACACTTTACAATCCGTTTGGTTTTATGAGGCGTACACACAACTTTCAAGGTCTCAAGCAGAGAAATGGGACCGTTTATAAACGTGATAGAAATTAAATAGGCCAACAATGGGAAAATGTCCTTCCTTCACATCTAATAATTGGTTGGATTATTTACTGGATGCATTGGTATGGTGGGCATTGTCTCCGGGGGGTCCCTGACCTGTGTCGAGCAGCAGTCCCACCACGCTGAAGTTGGAGTGGGAGACGCTGTAGTGCAGAGCGGTGTTGCCGTTGCCGTCGGTCATGTTGACCACGTGCTCCAGCAGCGCCGACGACACCTCGGAGAACGCCATCAGATAGTCGGACACCCGCGGAGATTGAGCCATCTTGGCACTGGAGATACGGAACCACTCGAGCTGGACGGTGTGGGTGCTGGAGAGCTTCGGGTGACAGATTGAAGGAATATATTATCTGCAATTTACACTCACACAGACACTGCAGCTGGAGGTGGAAAGCTGTGTTTAAGTACCTCAATACATTTAGTCAAGTACCATGTTGAAGTGAAAGTTCAGTATTTGGTTATTTTAATTCAATCCCGCAGTCGGAGCTGGTAGATGTGGAAGTTTGGGGTCCCCTACTGGAGCTGTTGCCCCCGCGACCCGACCCTGGATAAGCGGTTGAAAACGGATGGATGGAATTCAATCCGATGCATACTTCTACATGTCAGAGGCGAATAACAAACTTTAGGTGATTTTTTTCATAGTCAGATTAAAATTAAAGTATAAATCAAATAATGTTTTATCATCAGTTAAGATCCTAGTGATCCTTTACAAACTGTTGGTAATTAAAGCACAATGTGCTGTACTTTTTACTCGTACTTTTACTCTAGTAAAGGTTTTGAGAACAGGAATAAGAACATGTCAACACATGTTGGTAGGTTGAAATATTTCTTCCACCACTGAGAGAACACTTGTTTCTCACAAAAGAATTCTCGTTATTTGGTGAAACTTTTGTATAAACAACACCTAGCAAAGACATTGTTTGGAATGTAAAGGGAAGTCGCATTGAACAATGATTCAGTTTCTCACCCACACTGCGTCTATAATGATCGTTTACCAGAAGCAAAGATATACTTTTACAATAAACAAAAGAAAAAAAGTCAAACAGCTTCAACCAACTTTCACTAAAATCAGATAATTCCCAAAATGAAGTGTTTACGCTAAATGTGTAAGTGGGGGATAAATGGGTTGAAGAAGCATGCAGGGACGCACCACTTCCTTACTCTTCAGCGCTGCGATGTCGTCCTTCAGGTGGTTCTTCAGAATGAGGCACGCTTCACGCATTTTTGAGCTCAGCTCAAATCTGCAACGAACACAGAATGATCTACAGTTGAAAAACAAAACAACTTGCTACTTTCTGTACATAGTCTTCCCCTTTATTACAAGTGTCATGGTGTGAATGAGGAGACCTGCTGTTTGTCATCAACAGGATTAGGTAGGATTCACATTGGCTGCAGTAACCCGCAACTGAATCTACGGCGACACATAGAATGTCGTATCGGGTACTTTGAGTAACGACATACTTCTCTTTCACAGCGTCACACGAATAACTTGTGTCTCTCAGTGTTTCCTCGTCAGTGTCACTCTCGTCCAGGTTGACGTTTCTTTCCTCCTCTGAGGTTTCGTCCTCCAGAGCCGCCTCGTCCTCCTCTGTGCTGTCCAAGCACTCGCCTTCTCCACTTTCTCCAGAAGACGTTCCATCTTCTTCTTCCTCCTCCTCCTCTTCCTCTTCCTCTTCTTCACTGGATGTAGATTCATACCTGTGATACATAAATACAGACATTTGTAGTTTCTCATTTAAGGAGCTTTGGTGGCTCTTTTTTGGGGGGAAACTTTTGTTGTTTTGCATCTCGCGCGTCAAACTTATAACTTTATGAACTTATGGACTTATGAACCTCTTCACCACCTGCTGCTCTTATTGTATTTTTACTGTGGTTATAATATAAAACAAAGTTTTATGTTACACACCCTCCATTCAGAATGCCAACAAACTGCAGGCTCTTCTTCTTCTCGCCAGAGTTATTCCCGTCCTTCCTCTTCATGATGGACTTCAGCATTCCTGCTGCCATTATGGAAGCTGACCAAAAAAATGAGAGGATATTTTCAGTCCATTGTTGGACCACTGAGCCGTCTATTTAGAAAACCTAATTTTTATATTTCTTAGGGTACTAATTATAAGAAGAAAAATGTAATTTGTGACTTAAGCCACTCCAACTGTTAATATTAAATAATGTTCTTCCACCCACTGCCATGCTTTCTAATGATGCGTTATACTTTTGCCCCAATGAGACAGAAATAATTTTACATTTGATGCATTTTGTGAATTAAAAAAAAAAAAAAAGACCTGTATGAAGTTGAACCCCACATTGACGCTAAAAGCCTTTACGCTGTCACCTGTTTTGGCGTTGGCTGACGTCTTCTCTCCCTGGTCGCCCTCTTGCTTCTCAGCCATACTGACCACCTCTTCCTCTGGCGAGACTTTGTATTCAGCAATGGTCATCTGTCTCTTCTTGAGAACCGCAACCTTATGGGCCTCCATCTTTTCCTCAAACACGCTCTCCCATTGGCACCCGGTGCTGACCACCGCAACGGGTTCTGGCTCTGCTGCCGTCGCCGCAGCGTCAGTCTGGGTGAATTGTTCGATCTTCTCTGCTGTGCAGTTCTCACCCACACAAGCATCGCTCGCCTCAGGGCGGCACGAGACCGCGACGTGTTTCAACCCGGCGGTCCGCGTCCCTACCTGGGCATTCATCACGTCTGGTTTAGCGAGAACACCCTTCTCCAATGTGACTTTAGAGGTTTTCTCCTCCATCTGGACTTTAAGGATTCCCATGTCTGTGTCGGCCACACTCAGTCGGACCTCCAGAGCCACAATGGACTCCTGTTGGAATTTAATGGTGTCCTGTAAAGTATCAATCTCGCGCTGCGCTTCGCCGGTCAGACCAAGTAGGGACTCTATGACCCAAACCTCCGCCTCTGCTGTCTCCGCACTGACCTGCACGCCCTCCTCCTGAACCAGAGGAGCGTCCATTCCGGAGCCTTTATCGCAAACTTTGACCTGCGTGCCCTCAGAGGCGTCTTTCACACCCTGCCTGTAGTAGAAAACAACAGAGTCCATCGGCGCGTCCCCCCCAACAGCCACTGATTTCTTCTCAACGGACACTTTTCCTTGAGGTTTAACTGGAACTTTTGATGAAGGTTCTGCAGCTTTCCCTTGATTCCCCTCGAACCTTTCAGTCAGCCTTTTCAGCTCACCAGATTTTCCGAGGCCTTTAAGTCCAGGTGAAACCGGTGTCGTCGGTTGGCCGCGCGTGGTGGGGTCAGTTTGAAGAACCTCGGCGGTTTGGGTGAAGGACTCTGTGGACTTCTGCTTCAGCTGGGTCACCTCCCTGGCTTCCTTCTTCTCCTGCAGGGCCAACAGCAGCGCGTCTTTCTCTGCCCGCAGCTTGGCCACCTCGTTCTCCAGCGCGGGGACGCCCTTCACCCGCTCCTCCATCTCCTTCAGCTGCTTCAAGGCCGTGGCCATCTGCTCCCTAACCGTCTGCAGCTGGCTGGGTGGGATCGGAGTCATTGTGCTGCCAACAGCCGGAGTGCTGCGCCCGGAGGTCTGAGGACTGGGTTTGGTCCATCCGCTCTGCACGGGCTGAGTGGATTGCGAGCTCGCCAGCGCTTTGGGAGGATCGGCGAGCTGGAAGCGACCCCCGTTCTGGTGCTGGTGGGTTTGTTCGTGCTGTAGCCGCCGGCTGGTTTCCAGGAGGGTGCGTTCCACTCTGGGGTTGCGCTGCGGCGGAGGAGGTGGCACTTTGGCTCCGGCGGACAGGGGAGGAACGCCGAGGAGGGTCACGGGGGACAGACGGAGCCCCTCGCAGGGCGCCGACCCGAGGCGGTTGCGCGGCGGCGGCGGCGGCGGAGCTCTGCCGTCCTCGCTGGCCGGAGACGCCAGAGACTCTGTGGACGTCCAGCCACTGGCACGACCCCCCGCACCTCTCTGGGAGAGTCTGGCCCCTCGGCCTGAGCGGCGGGAGCCAAGGGGGGCCCGACGGAGGTTGTGCCCACTCTCTATCTCTTCTACATACTTGAGGAAGTCCAGATCCAGCTGGAAACCATACGGAGTCTGGACGGAGTAGGAGCCGGACTGGTCAGCGTCCTCCTGAGCGGAGTAGATGAATGGAGAGCCAAGATCTGAAAGAAGAAGGCATGTCACCATATGTCACCATAGGTCACGTCAAGACAATATGGCTACTATCCGTGTTACGGTCTGTGGAAAAACACATGTTTTGTTTACATTTCATGTTTTGAAGGATTTGGCAAATGTGTTCTTCCCTGTCTCATGTTGCTATTTATTTCCGGAATATTTTAAAATCATGTCTACTGGCTTGGAGAGATAAGGGTATCTATGTTTAAAATGTCCACAAACATTAAATCCTGTTAAAAACCAATGTTGTGAAAACTCAACAAAAACACCAGAAGCAGATAAAAACAAGTCAATTTGACTTATTACAACAATGACTTAATTCAAGTTCAACCTCATTTCAAGAGGAGATTCAATATGTTCAGTCACAAAATAATTTGGATATCAGATTGAATACAAAACAAAACATTCTGCAGCTTCTTACCAGGCAGCTTCGGGTTAACTTGAACCGACTGAGTCATTTTCAGGACGGAGATCTGTCAGCACGCAGCTTCAAATAAAGACCTGGCAACACAAACAACAGTGATATTATAATAATGCATCCCATTCATACAGCGCTTTTCTCAAAGAAAGAAACTGTAGAGAAAGTTAAATGTTTTTACTAAAAGGGAAACGCAACAACAAGCGGCTCTTTGCCTTCACTGTGATGGCGAACAAAGATGCTTCTTTTTTTTATAGAACTAGAAGAAAAAGTGCAGAAACGCTTTAAAAGGTTGGTGTTTTATTTTGGCTCAAAACACGTGTGTGTGTGTGTGTGTGTGTGTGTGTGTGTGTGTGTGTGTGTGTGTGTGTGTGTGTGTGTGTGTGTGTGTGTGTGTGTGTGTGTGTGTGTGTGTGTGTGTGTGTGTGTGTGTGTGAAGCAGTCAGCCTAAAGTCAGAATAAATTAAAAGTCACCAAGAATGCGAGACACAAAACAAGCCTCACATTGAAGTGTCATTTTCAGTGTGTGGGCACAGAAACTTCCGGCACACTGTGAAGTTGGCAGTTGGGGGGAAAAAATACCTCGGAACAAAGTCAACAACAAAGAGCTGAACGCGATTCACAAACCACAAGACGGCTGCTCAATTAATGACAGCGTCACAGCAGCCGACTGCGCTGGAAACCACAGGATTCTTGTCAGCACACGACTGCTGAAACCCGACGCACAGACATCATTTCCTCTGGGAAAGATGTATTTAGAAACAAATCCGGCACCGACTAACTTGTAAAACCTCATTTTCAAACAACAGGAGGGAATTACTGATACATTATGGGAATTCCCCATTAAAAGTCACCTAACTGAATTGGACAGATTTTCGCTTGAAATGAACGCAGTGTTTTAGAGAAGTTCACCTCTCGGCCCTCAGTGGTTCAGACAGCTGGTGTTCAGGCCGGTTCCCTCTTTGCTGCTCCACTCAGCCCCGAGAGACAGAGACACTGAGTGAGAGTGAGACACATGGTCATCGGAAACACCACAGTGGGGTTAAGATTAAGAAAAAGTCCAGCATATTGTCTACGTCATTATGAGTAATGTCGCTCAAAGTTCACCAGATCTAAAACACAGTGCTACACTGAACCATTGAAACCACCAAGTGTGTTGTATACAAAAGGGTCATTATTCAATCCTGTAGCCCAAAAGCAGTGAAGCAGTTCAGGAAGCTCCTGGTGACCTACCGACGATTTCTACACATTTGTGTAAATCCCACACAAGTAATTAGTCGCATTAATTCGAGCTCGTTATTTTTGCAGAAATCCAAATGGTTTTCATCTCATCGGACAAAGAGAAACGTGTACCAGATGAAAGAAGAAGGTCATCGCATGGAAAAGGCCTCGATGCAGCACGCTGACCTAAACGGTGACCCCGTGCAAACCTCACGTACTGAGAAAAGGATTATTAGCACGTCAATGTGAGCATCCCTTTTACTTATTTCTCTAAATAGACAAACTACATATGCAACAAACACACACGCACACACACACACACACACAAAACCCTGCCAAGCGTGAAGTCCTTCAATCCGTTTTAAACACACACATACGGCCGTGTTTCCCAGCGGCCTCGGGCACATTCCTAACACGTGCTGTCGCAACACGCCGGTTGTCCTTGTAGCTGACTGACGTCTGATAACCTATAAAACACACACACACACACACACACACACACACACACACACGCACACACACGCACACACACGCACACACACACACACACACACACGAGTCGTCTCAGCCTGCAGCAGACACACTGCTTATTGTCAAGGTAAAGAAGACCACATCCAGAGAGACAGGGGACTAATTGTCACAGATTGTGCGGTGGACTATCTGTGGACACCATATTCATTAAAATAAGCCATGGAAGGAAAAGGAATCTGCTTGATAAGCAAGAGACTGAGCAGAAACCTTGTTATCAGAGCTCTGGTTCTCCTCCGGCTGACGGTCGGATCCTCTGTTCGGGTCAAATCACAGCAGACATGATGCTGCAGCATCACAGCCGGTGATACAGACACAAGTTATACAAAAAGGTTTTCAACATTCACCTCTTTGGTTTACGGAGCCAGAAGGAGGTAGTTTACTGGGCTTAGAGTCTGCTTAGGATAAAATACAAGCCAACCAGAGTTTATAAAACAAGTCTCCTGACTCAAGGATGGTTTATTTATTATGCAATTTTTGCAGCATGTGATTCTGCCTGGTTGGAATTGGAAGAGGTGTAGATGTTGAGACAAATCTGGCTTTGGTTTGTGCAACTTCAACTCCTCATCTGCACTCAGATCATAAGTGTCTAGCCTTGAATTGTCAGGTAACCCATGCCCCCCCATCCCCCATGTATTTGAAGCCTTTCTAATACGAGTACCGGTATTGGACCCTAAAATATTAGATTGGGTATAAGACAACATACGAGCCTGTGCACCGATCATATAGCACCCAGGAACCATCATTTGTACATGGAGCAGACGGAAGTATGTTTATTAACAGACTGCCAAATATCTCTAACCAGGTGGTCGAGGAGAATAATCATTTTGTTCAGATCTTAAAGATCCCTCAGAAATGCCCCTACAGAAGAGGTTTGAACCCAAACACAACAGCATTTGCCTTTGGCGGGAAACGGACTTCTACAACAGGTACAAAGCAGCAATAGTGCGTGTTTTGACCCTGACTGAATGTTGATGGTAAAAGCATTTATTCAAGAAGCAACACAATAAACCTCTTGCAGTGCAGTTTCTCTTCCTCCCTATATTCTATTCATTTTCATCCATTTCATTCTCATACACATTTATTTTCTCCTTTTTCATTTCCCCTTTTCAGTCCCTGAGGCTCTGCCATGGTCCACTTCTCCTCTCTCACATAAACATTTTCCCTTCTCTCTCACACACACACACACACACACACACACACACACACACACACACACACACACACACACACACACACACACACACACACACACACACACACACACACACACACACCTCAAGTGTTTCTGTTTTTCTCTCTGATTTGATGACAGACAGCAAATTACAGACCTCAGGGAGAAGCTGCATTCCTGCTCTCCCCCCACCGACTCCCCCCAAACCCCGACCAGCTGAGCCATTCTCTCTCCCTCACACACACACAGCCAATGCTCATAATGGCACATGCACATGCCAAACAAATATAACAAAAAGGCCCATAGATGCATGTGTGCAAGCGCTCTCTGTGTCTGTGTGTGTGTGTGTGTGTGTGTGTGAGAGCTCTCTTGACCCGGACTCAGTGTATTTCATGACTACACTGTGCGGTGATGTCTGTAAGAGGGAAGGCACTGACTTATGAAAGCCATAATACCTGAATTGTTGTTTAGGGTCTACACGTCAAAACAGTAAATGTTACGCACAATTGCGGTGATGCTGATGACATTTCTATTTTGCAAATTAAATTATTGGAAAATTACAAACCCATTGCCTCTGTAGAACTCTCGGCCTCTCTTAGAGAACATTGCAGTCACCGAAGCGCCCTTTTGAGATCCGGTAAAGAACGTCCAATGTGCAATATGGAAAGTAAAATAATGATTTTAAGGGTTCCTTTATCTGGAGGTCAGACACTTAGTGTCCCCTTAAACATGCTGGATGAACCAGTGACGTAATTGTGTCTGCAGACCTCAACAATTAACTTCAGTCAGTAAAGTTTTATTATCCCTGAAAGAAACGAAGCCACATTTGCCACAGAACCAAATAAAAAAAATTCAACCAGTTGAGATAAAAGTCAATTTATGGTTATTACCCACATTTATTTCTATAAAAAAAAGGATAATTTCATACTTTAAGTGACCAACAACAATGTTTTTTTTAAATGTCACATAAAGGCCAGTTTGGTTCTGATCAAACATTCTCTCTTTAGTTGTCCTTCAAGAGGAAATGCTGTGCTGGGTGGAGGCTCGGGGGCCGAGTTTTCAAACGGTGACCTCATCTACGCTGCCCGCCGCCCTTCACCGGGAGAGAAAAGTCAGTCTGACAGACGAGGGAAAGAGGCGACATCCTCTTACTAACTTTCCCCAACCGACCGCTTTACATCCACATAGAAGACAAATACAAACAGAGACATAGACCACAAATAAAGGCCTCCACCATGTGTGACGCCCCGCGTATTACTTGACTGAGTACATTCCCTTATTTTATTCTCAGTTTAGATAACAGACATCTTACCAAATGTAATATATTGGAGGTATCAAACTGTTAAATCAAAACAACGGGAGGAGAAACTGAGGGGGGGTCCGTCCTCCAGGACTGAAGGAAGTGCTGTTGTTGAGTGCACAGAACAGTCCAACGTGGAAAGTCAGGTAATCAACAAGCTTTAAAGCTCAACTTTGTGAGCGGACATTAACATTAAGTGTTCAGGAAAATGAAATATGAACTACAATCAGAGGACAACTGTGCTAAAGACCTCATCTGAAAAATGGTATGATGATGAAAATCCATAACGTCTCCAAAATGGATCTTAAGGTTAGATTTTTCTTACAGGACTTACAACATGGACTCATCTTTCTGAAACAGGAAACAGCTTTTCAATGTCCACTTTAACAAGCTTCAGCCCTCATCCTAGTTGATCTTAAACCTTAATTCTGCTAAACCTGAATGTAATCTCTTGAGGAGATTTGTTTCAGGTCTTTATCCTTGCAAGGATATTTCGGCTTAACACACACACACACTCTGTGCTGCAGGGATAAATCTGCAGTTTCCTAAGGGGAAGCCCACTACTCCCCCAATAAATCCCCCTCATCTCTCTCTCACACACACACACACACACACCGTTCATGCCCCTATGGGAGACCTCCCATTGTCCCCCAGTAGGAACTGGGAGGAGGTGGGGGGCTGCCAGGAAACCCATCAGGCCGTCCTGAAAGCTGCTTCCTGAAGGCAGCAGGAAAACACCGGAGTGAACGCAAGCAAAAGCTGAGCCGGACAAATAGAGCCAGTGGGACACGGAGACACACACACACACACACACACACACACAACAACAACAGCACAAGGCCGACATCACATGATGCATC